CAGGGCAGAGGGGCTGAGGTAAGGGGTTAGGGCAGGGAGATGGGGCAAGAAAGTGGGCACAAGGGGACAGGGCAGAGGGGCTGAGGTAAGGGGTTAGGGCAGGGAGGTGGAGCAACAACAGGGAGGGCCAGGGAATTTAAAGCTTTCTGCCTTATGCAATCAGTACATTCAGATTTACAGTACATGATATGGTTTAGTTTAAATGCTTTCTGTGGATGCATAAGCTTAGCTCTCACATTTGCGTGGAACATATTTTTTCTCAGTTTGACAGTTAAGTTTCTTTGTTAACAGGTTGTTTGAATGATACAAAAAATCTGGATCTAGAAGCATATCTGGATTACATTAAGGAAGTCAACTTCAGTGGTTTGACTAATTCCAACTTCATGTTTGATGACAATGGAGATCCCATGGGTCAGTACGAGATTTATAATCTACAGGTGAGATGAGATGTTTACATTTGAATGTTTTTGTAGTTACTTGTATGTAGTAGGAGGTTTTGTAAAAAAAAGCAGATTGATGACAATTTACTTTTTTCCTAAGTCAAGTTGCGAGATTGACGATGTTCTCTCTTTATTCCTAGTGTTTTGGTGACGAATGTTCCTTTGTTAAAGTAGCTGACTGGGACCCAACATCAAAGTTCAGTAACTGGCAGCAAGTTGATTGGCAGACAGGAACAGTGCCCCCGTTGTCTAGATGTTCAGATGATTGCCCTCCGGGGCATTTTATTACACTGCTAACACCTAAGTGCTGCTGGGAATGTCACCGATGTGATGGTATGTGTTATCATGTGTAGCCTGGGGTCTGTCATAGTGTTTGATTGATGGACGTGCCTCCCTGTATCACTGAGTTTGATATGTATAGAACAGTAAATGCGTCTTAATTCAGCGGTGAAGTGAAATAACCGTAATATCAAAGATAACTTGAGAATATTGTATTCATTTATTCAAATTGTAACCGGTAACTGCCAAAGTGAAATGCAGTAATTGTTAATTTATACACTTCCCTGATTTGTTATTCCTTTCAAGCCGACAGTATCAGCATGTCCCAGAATTCCCTGCAGTGCACAGTGTGTCTTGATGGTGAACGAACCAATGAGAATCAGACAGCTTGTCTTATTAATCCTGTTGTGTACTTGGAGTGGAATCATGCTGTGGCTATTGTTCTTGTGATACTGACGATTATTGGTCTCCTTGCAACTGGATTCACATTAGCAATCTACATCAGGTAACACCATCCATTTCCAACCTAACTACAGGTCAGTCCAACCTTATTGTGGGCCTAAATCCTTCACTCTGCAGCCACATGATCCAGTCCTGTTTGGGTAGAAATTCTGTGTCCATAATTTGAGAAAAACGTTCAAAATAAGACTGAGTTAATGTAGAGACCTCAGGAGAAATAGTATCAAAGTTTCAGTAAAATATTGAGATTGACAGTGAATCGAATGCCACTGTAATAGAGCCTCATGAAACCATTGGTCATTCCATTTACATTCCTTGAAGGTAAAGAAAGTCTCATATTTGTTTTTTTGTAGACATAGAAACTCACCAACAGTCAAAGCCACCAGCACAGAACTGAGCTATCTCCTCTTGGTGGGCATTGCCATGAGTTACTCCTCTACATTTCTCTTTGTTGCCATGCCAACTGATGAGATCTGCAATGCTAAGATTGTGATGGTTGGAACCAGTTTTGCGGTGTATGTAGGAGCCCTGTTGACTAAAACCAACCGCATCTCCAGAATCTTCAATCGCAAGCTATCTGATGGAGCACCATCAATGTTTCTCAGTATCCAGGTTTGATTTACGTGGTTCCTACATCACCTCATGTAAACTATAGTACACAAATTTGTAATTGATACTGAAACCGGTAGCATTTTAAGTTTTGCTGACTCAGATTTTGTCAGACATTTTATTAAAAGTGGAATTAAATGCAATTGGAGTTTTAACCTCAGATCCTTGAACCATTCACTTTTTCTCGATGTCTGAACTGTCAGGTGGAATGTGATTGAAAATTCACAAGTCCCAATCCATACATGTGTCGCAGGATTAAACTGAGATATTTGTGACACCTGTTTGTTTCCTTACAATTTGTTTAATTCTATTAATGATGTAATTCATTATATCATTTGATAGTTTTTTTAAAATCTCTTTCAGTATCAACTGCTGTTTGCTCTGGGTATAGTGGCTATTCAGGTGGCGATGCAGGTCATTTGGTTACAGTTGGAGCCAGGGTTCGTTGTCAAGGATACTAGTGACCCTGAGGTCACATTATTGGAATGTGACTATAATTCCTTCTTGGGACCTGGAGTTGCTGTGGGTGAGTTGTGATAAGACACAACTTTAATAAGTCCGAAATTATTCATGTTGTGAACATTGTAAGATTTCTCACAAGTTTGTATGCCATAAAAAGCCTGGGTCAAGGAAATAATATATTTATTTATTCAAGAATGTAGAGGAAAACTCTTTGTAAAATTCCTTGAGTAAATGCACTGAATTGGATAGCCTAGGGAAATGGAATGAATTGGCTAGGGTACTGTGGGATGCTTTGATATCATTGTCCAACCAGCTGTATGAGCCATACAAAAATTATCCTTTGTTGACAATACTGTTTGTCTTCCTTTATCTTCGCAGGTTTTAATGCTGTCTTGGCTATGCTCTGTTTGTACAAAGCATTCAGAATCCGCAAACTACCAGGACAATTCAATGATTCTAGAGGGATATGCTTTGCCATGCTGACATGTTGCCTTATCTGGTAGGATTTAGTTGAATTGGTGGCAATTTGAATGGAGCTATTACCATTGTGTTAGGTTGACCTTACGTGGCAGATGTTGTCATATAAGTTCCATGTGACTAGGTGGTGTCATTGCATTGGTGTCTTGGACACTCTGGACACTTACCAGGATGCTGTCACAAGTGACAGAAGATAATTGCCATGAACATTTTGTTCCTTAAATTCTCATGAAAAAAACAACTTTGACTAGAAATTAATCCTTCAGGGTTATTTCAAGGATGTTTACCCAGATTTCATTGGAATAATCTCGCAAGGTGTTTTAATGACCCTAACTGTGCTCCACTGACAAGAGGATTAGGTTCTTTTTCACAGATTTCTAGACACTAACAACACCATGCTGGCAACATTTGTGAAGTAACCAGACTTTCAGGGATAACTTAACAAGGGTTGTTTCTTGGGGCCATTTGATGGACCACAAATGCTCGATGTGTTGAAAAATCTGCGACAATTTTGTGTCATTGTAAATGATCCATGCATGGCTTAAACCTTAGTGACTTTTTAAGGATCAAGACATTCATATCATGTGTCTCTCTTAAAATTCTACCGTCATCCTTCTGAAGTCTGAAGTCTAATGTTTCTTGTGTTTATTAGGTTCATCTTCTTTTCCTGCTACTTTTCAACTACCGGCATTGCTAACTCCATCATTTGTAGTACTGCTTTCGTTGCTAGCGGTACCTCTGGCCTCATCTGTATGTTTGTACCCAAGTTGTGGATTGTCATCATGAGACCTGAACTTAACGTTCGCCAGTCTACCTTGAAACTCAAGAGTTCATCAGGGACCGGTGTGAATATTAAGACTGTCAGCAGTGTGGTCAACAAGAAGGTATTAATCTCAAGATTTGATAACCTGATACAGTGACTGTTGCCTGAATGATCAGGCATCAAGTATGTTTACTTAATGATATGCCATTATAATTGCATAATAAATTGTTTCTTGTCATTGCAGAATGGTCGTGCCTCTTTTACCTCAGTTATAACAGACTTGAATCCTCCATCTACATCAAGTCACAGCTCAGATGGAGACAAAGACAGTATGTCACAGGCCAGCAGTGAAGATGAGGAACTGAGGTTTCTAGAGGAAATTGAGAAGTTGGAAAAAGAGTTGAAGGATGCAGTAATAGAACGGGATGATGCGGTTGCCAAGGCTAATGAAGCATATGAAGAGATGCTGGACTTACAAAAGATGTGAGCTGTTAGACTTCGAGTCTTCATTTATGGATGTGGTGATATTGGTTTAACATGTTTCATTTAAAAAAACAGTGCATGGTTGGCAGTAAGGTGCAGTAACAGTAATAATGACATAAAATGGCCAGTGTGGTGTGAGAATTATACCATTGCATTTTGTTGTCATTCTCAACTCTCAAATTTGCATTTAAATCAGCTAGTTTGCTGTTAGAATGCCATTCGTCAAACTTTTTGTTTAAGCATACGTGAAGTATTTTGTGATGGATTATCTAAAAGTATCAGGAATTCAGTTAATCTGTTGAAAAATAGTTCATTTTGATGACTATTTCTTCCAGGCAAGAGGATGAATTACAGAAGTTTGATGAAGATATCAGGCTTGAGAAAGCTAATGTTTGGCGTCTACTGATGTCAGGAGGAATGCAAGATGACGAAATTGAGGAAACCTTAAGATGTCAAGATGAAGATTGGATGATCAGTGAAGACTATGATTACACAGTGAAGGTGTGTGAAAAAAAATTGCCAGGAAAAACATCGTTTTTACTGGATGAGGAGATCTAGAAAAGATTTGTGTGGAAGCCTGAGTTCACACTGTATAAAGGTTGTTCCTCAAACTAATTCTTACCGTAATTTTGGTGGATTTTGGGGGACATTCTTAACATGAATATGCTTCCTTCACACTTGTATTTATTCATGTCAGGTTTCAGAACTTGTTGCCAAGTTGAAAGCTGTCTCATCAGAACGTGACCAACTCAACCAACAAGTCAAGCAACTAACGCTTGAATGCCAGCAATGGAAGGACATCATGTAAGTTGTTGAATAGCAATACTGACAGATCAAGCTTTGTTGGTAGATACGCCCCTTGCTTTAGATTGGCAAGGAGAATTTATTTGATTGATACATATGTTAGAACTTTATTCCTTTTAGATTAAAAGATCGAGATGCATCTCCAGTGGATACCGGAACTGAAATCTTCAACTCTGAAGGCTCTTTTGTCTTGAATGGCATGAATACCACCTTTGTTTGAATAGTTCATGTTGTAGTTCTTCTTTATGAATAATGCATAATGTACATTGCTTATGATTGAATTGTGAATGTTAAATAATGCACGACTTCATGTATTTGTAAAATGCACGCTGTAAACAACTTGCCACCTCTCCAAATTATTATTGATGTTAACGTAAGTCACATATGTTTATTTTTATAAATGTGGAAATTACTCTCAATCTAATGATAAAGAATTGATGAATATTGTCTTTCTGCTGTATTTTAATTGCCACTTTCTATGGTTGTGAAGTTACGAGAAAAATAATGTGTTCTTTTATTGAGCCTATAGATTCAGAGTGCTTACCGGAAAGATCGTTTCTGTAGAAAGAAGGATTTCGGAAGGAAACTGTAAACACAAAAGTGCATACATAGAATGAGAAACATGTCTTTTATTTAATTTTATACAAGTATTGATTATTTATTGTTACCAGACTCACATTATTAGAAGTAAGGTTTCAAAGACATTGTTTTAGTTGTGTAAACAATCGTTATTTATTTGAAAGTGTATTGTACGTGTATGGATTGAAATTATTTGTGCAGTGTCACGATCGCCTTGAAAATGTTTGTGGTTCTTTAATATCTGATTGCTCTTTACACATGTACTAGTCCTTACTGGAAGTCACCCCTTTACAGAAAAGCTGCGTCAAATTGGGATTCATGATAAATTTGTGCTTGAGTATTAGAGTATTGGTGGTCACACAGGCTTAAGAAAACAGTAAACAAGTAAGCCAGTACGGGTGTATCATCAGCGCATGCCCTTAATGAAGTTCGCCTCAGATCATTCCGACGTGTGTCGCGAGCTTTAGCCTTATATGTACTGTGTGGTCCGATTTAAATTCGCTTACTTGCTTCGGGACCGAATGACCCTGTGCTTTTTTTTTCGAATATCGAACTAGCTCATCCACCACGGGAGTTTCACGTAGTAAACTGATCATGCTATATTGACATTGGCCCTTGCCTTGCTTGGTTTCCACCGTACCGTTGCAACTTGAAATGTTTGTGGTCTGTCACTGAAAAAAAAAATTATTGCGTTTTTAGTTCAAAATTTATGGTTTTAATAGTTATATTTTAAAGTCTATGAATTTGAATTTTACGTATGTTTGTGGGTAAACTTTTAGTTGAATAAAGTCAGTTTTGCCTTGACTTGATACAGATTTACTGATATATTTTTACAGCCTGTTGAATGGGCGCAGAAACGATATTATGTATATCTGCAGGCAATTGACCTTGTTCGAACTTGCACTAAAGCCAGAAGGTTTTAAAAATTGCATTCTGAAGTTAAAAGGTGTAGTCAAGTGACAAACTTTCAATGCCACTGTGTCTTTTGTTATGTCAATGCAAGAAAAACATTCCACCAGGATATTGACAGCGGTTGGTCGGGAAGTAACAGTTACCTGGGTCATTGCAAAGTGTGGTAAAAATAACATGATACATTGTCGCCAGGAATATGAATATTTAGCTTAGGAATGCCAATCGTAGAAGTAGTTGCACTAGCAGGGCAGCTTCAATGTAGAACTGGCAAATCGGATCGGTTTTAATTTGCTGGCAACGTGTGGTTAATGAATGCTTTAGGTTGATGCCGACAGAGCTGAAGGTAAATTAACGGTTGAATTAGATGCAAGTCTGTTGAGTAAGATGTATGGAATGTTTTTCTTTGGTCAGTTTGTACTAGTTTCCACTGATGTAATTCTAATAAGAGGACTTACTGGGACGTACTTTGAAACAAATCGTAAGGGTTGGGAAAAAACGTATTAATAACGTGCTTTGTACGATTTAAAAAGTAGCTTTTTTTTCAATATCATTTGCGACTCGTAAGATTTAGACCACCTCCCACATTTTTTCACGAATGTGCCGACTGATATAAATTAGGAGTCAAGCATTGCATGATATTGTGATACGGTATAGTGACCCAAATACCTTAATATAGTTCAAGAAATTTGGTTTAAGGGAATGAAGTTATAGTTTCTGACTGTGTGCATGTATGCAGATATATCATTAATTGTGATGAACAGTGAATAGACTGCATCGAAGTAGCGTCGCCATGGAAACAACGATCATACCATGTTTGATCAGCAACGTGATAGAGAATGTGTGAGTGGAGTTGTGTGTATGAAATGAATGTGCGAGATGTAAATATTTAAAGGGGAGGTGACTTATACAATGTAATATCGGTTGATTCTAGTCACCCGTCACGAGGAGACTTGCTGTACAGACTGTTGTGTATATACATGTACAATTGTTTGCCCTTTGCTGGAGGAAGTTACATGTACATGTAATCATTTTTACCTCGGCAGTCATGACCCGCTATATTTGGGACTCGGCACATTTCTGTAACAGAATACACATACATAACTAGTCCTATGTAAAGGCCTAGTCCTACGTATACACCCATGGAGGTCCGTCTAAACCTGGGTATTTTCTGCAGTATTTATACAGATTAGCGGAAAAGTCTTTAAACATTCTCAACATTACCGTACCCATTACCGGCCCAGGTTATTTTGGACCGTTTCACAGCCAGGACGGGTATGCGATCGCCCCCAGGCTAAGAACTCGGCTGTCACAAACCGCGCTTTTGAAAGTTGACGTGCACGTGCATACATGCATGATTAGTCTAATGTAGGGTTTCAGTTCAGTCTTTTTCGTCCTGCACTAGTATGACAATGGATTTTGATGATATGATCATTTGAAGTTCATGAGCTCAAGTAGGCTATATATGGAATAACTTACCCGTCTCGGAAAAATTCCCGTCGCGCGACAACGGCATGTCAGTCTTTTGTTAATTAACAATTATTGTTATCCTGCGAACTCCTTGTGGCCCAGCGCGTGAAAATTCATTACGACGATATTGAAGAAACTGTTGGCGGCAGATTCCGTCCCCGGCTCTTTTGGGGTTAAGCTAAACACAGGACAGACTGTTAAAAGAAGGTCCGAAAAAATTGTTTCAAAATTTTTTTTTTTTGTCCACTTCAAAAGCGTCGTTATTCATTTCAGACTCGATTCACGTACCTTTGTTCGTTTTGGTTTAATAGTCGATTACCGTGATATATATAACGACAGTCATGTAAGAAATTAAAGAGGTACAGGGTTTTAGATTCAGGATTTTAGGACCTGGCAAAATAAATCTGCATATGAAATGTACTGGAATTAAACCAGCCGCTGCAATTGTGTTACATGCCCCACCCCCTTCCTGTCAGATTAGTGGAAGCGGCAAGGATGTAAATGCATTTCTATCCCTGCATGCATCTCATTACACCCTTCATCCATCTGTGCACGCATAAGGCTTTCATCTGGACAACGTGTGAAGACGATCATCGCACGCGCCAAATGTTCTTTTTTCTCCCGGTTTGACGAAGAGCAATCGACTGTTATTGTCACAAGGACTGACTGATCCTAAAGTCAAGGCCGCAGTGTTTGTCTCCATTGCCGTTCTTGATCAATCTGTTTCAGGTTTGTGCACTTTCTTACATGTCGGACGGAAGGAACCATCATTCCGGCTATACACATTTTTCTACCCGCACATTTCTGGCGGCTTATTACGAGTGCGGATGTTCGTGGACGTACACAATATTAATTAATGCCGTTTGGTCGTCTGCTGTGTACCGTACAGAAGCGTGCATATAGCTGCAGTGGTGACCTAAATTCGGTTGGCTTAGATTGTATATGTACAGTTTTGAAGATGAACGTGAATCTGGTTGCTTGCTCGGATGTGAGATGGATATTCATTGGACGCCATGTGTGTGATCTAGCAAAATAACTGAATGATGGAATAATTCTGCGAGTAGTATAGGTGAGTATCGTGGCTTGCAGATCTCTCGTTATTTCACTTGATCTCGCACGGCAAAAGATGGATTAATATCAGTGGTGCAGAAAGAAGTTTGATCCAAAGGTTTATCATACAGCTGTCAGTCTCTTGTAGGCCTAAAATGATCTGTAAACAATCCTTCATTAGTTACGTTTTCATCAAAACCTCATTGACAAGAAAGCTATTCGTCCGAACAACTATTGTGGGCAAAATTTTAAAGAGTAAAAGGTTTTATAAAGCCTGAGGTAAAAGGAAGCTAGCTGGACAGAAATTGTTACGATCAGACATCGTTGTTTTCCACGAATTTACTGACATTAACTAGCATTTAGGAGAACGGGCGTGTTTTGACGTGCTCATTCATCATTGACATTTTGCTTGAGTCGTCTACCCAAAATATACCCGCAAGGTATGCAGACGTATGCTGTGCTCTCATAAGATTAAGACCGTAAATTACAGTACAAAAAAGCCGCATATTAACGAGCCAACTTGCATATAAAATAGCTCATAGATTTCGATTAATATGATTGTAAACATACCGGGTCAAAATTGGGCTATATTCACAAATTGAATAAATTTGCAATGCCCGGCGCTCCGATCGTCGCAACACGAACAATGAACTGCAATTTTTTTTTTAATTTTCTTTTAAATATGACCTACATAAAAATGACGTCGACAACACATTTGTGTCTTTTTACTTGGTATTATTTAAGGAACCGGTGAGGGCAATTTCGGTTACCCATTCTCAAACAACCTCGCAAAAGTTCACAATCACACCCGTGTTGTCACGGATTATTAGCTTGTAATATCAGGGGCATGTGATTAACGGGACAGAATGGACAGACTAAATTGCAAGATGTTAAGATGTATTTTTCAATAAATTATACTGTAGTGATGGAGACGTGGCTCAGGAGAATCTCTGGAGTCGAGTCACCTCTGTTTACAGAAAGAATAAACTATGAGGCGTTATAGCCTGATTATTCATGCTTTTTCCTTATGTAGTTTGCAGAATTCTACCGGATGCTACACGGTGTATATTAGGCTGCGTAAAAATATTCAGCGGACTGAAAATCATCATCTGTACGTGGTGTTTGCAAATTCTCAGGCTTAACTATGAACTATATTAAAAGCCATACACAAAAGGACAAGGCGAGATGTCTGAATCTTATAACATGAACAATACAGGGATATCCAAGTCTCAAAACTCCAAACACTTAACCTAATGAGTTGAGGATTTCTCTAAAGGCAAGAAGAAAAGAAAGTATTAGGTTTCAGGAGAACGATTCAAAGCTAGAAGGTTCTGTACAAGTATATTCTTTGCTAAGATGTACAGCCTGGACGTCTGTGGTCATTCAAGTTAACCGAGGACAGTGAGCGCATCGAGTTTCATATTACTGCGACAATATCAAATACGCGTTCACGGAGAAAATGCTACATCGGTGAGATGGGGGAAACCTGTTTTAAGTCACATATGTGAAGGGAACATCATTAATAATTCCAACCAACAAATTAACGATTGCAAAGTACATGTAGGCCCTACATCACGTGGACGGACGAGTGTGGTCATGAATTTCGTGAGAGTGTTGGTGTTTGGAAAACGTTTCCCCATGTATACGAAAGCGTTAATGTTGACTTTTGACCGTCGTGACGCCACATCTACGATGCCTGCTTTTGACAAGTACCAGTGGTTTACCTGAATTACCTGATTTATTCAATTATATCATATTATTTCTGGTTTAGCAGTTTTTTCTCTAGCCCAATAATTACGTGTTTTTTTTTCGTTGATCTGTTTAGAAATAACTGTCGTGGAAAAATTCCGTTTTCTTCAATAAAGGATGAAGCTCAGTGTGGTAGCGCGCCCCGTTAACATTCAAATAAAAAAAAATTCCACATCTGAAAACTGCTGGTTGAACAAGACACGTTGTGCCTTCCATGGCAGGGCAGTGAGATGAGTCATGTATTAAAATGATATGAAGCGACCTTAGATTCGAGCAGGCACCGTAGACATGACACTAAACCTAGCGAGCTGTCGTGTGGGAACCATAGCGAGTTATTCCCCAAGTTCTTGACCTTCAAATCTGTGTTTAAATTAAACAAACACTTCAAAGGTTGCACTCACTGACTGGATATTTTGGTTGTTCCCGTTGAAGAATCGTGTTGTATCGTCATGCTTTGCCATTGATGGTACCGTATGTACCTCGTTTTATGTGAAGCGCACGTAAGGTATACTGTTTACCCCTTTTATCCAAAAATATGCTGATCGGGAATTATACACCAGATTGATGACGTGCTTATAGAAAAAATAAAAGGATTTTAGCGTGGAAAACTGAGCGAAGCCAGCGACGCAGCATCAAAATTATACACTGGCGCAGTTAGAAAAAATATAAGTGACGGGAACATTGCATCTGTTTTTCATTCAAATTTGCCACAACCAGCTAGAGCTGTTAACACTTTTTATTTCCCTTGTAGGCATTGAAAATGGCTAACCGAGTTAACATTGGAGGTAGCCCGAAGCGGTCCTCGGCAACCGTTACCAAGGCTACAGGGTCATCAACAAGGCGACCACGCCCAGCCTCGTACCATCAAGATCATGGCTCCTCATCAACGTCTTCAGGCAGCCCCAAATCCCCATCAGATACTCCGAAGGGATCTCTAGTTAAAAGTCCAGCAACAGGTCGCGAGGCAATTGCGTCACTAGCTCTGAAAATTCCTCCTCGTGTAGATAGGACATGGCGGCGATCTGGATCACCAAGTGCCCGGTCTAGCGCATCTGGGAGCTCCACTGGAAGCTCAGATTCCTTGCCTTCCAGGAAAGCTACTTCTATCTTGAGGAAATTGGCAGTGATGAGACAGGAAGAGAAACTAATTGATTTGAATCTAGTCTTCTACAGAGGAGAGATAAGATGTCATAGGATTGTTCTTGCAGCAAGTAGTCCATATTTTCGCGACACCTTAGCAGTTTCCAGCCATTTGACAAGACATGATAGTATTGAGATGCGGGGGGTGGATATGCAAGTCATGCAAGCTCTAGTAGATTATGCTTACACATCTACTGTAACTATTGGCTATGATAGAGTCAAGACTTTATTAGAAGCTGCCAATATGTTCCAATTCCAAAGTATCATAGATGCTTGTATAGATTACTTGAAACGGTCAAGACGGAAGATAAGACAGCGATCATCCAGTAGACAACGAAGTGAGAACAGTGTGGGAGGTGCAAGTCCCTCTAGTGGGGGAAGTCGATCAGCAAGTCCTAAGAGCACACCTGTGCAAAGCCCACGGGCTGGGAGTCCCCTTACTACCCCCTCACCACTGCTGTTAAGTCCAAGAGAACCATTCAATGGATCATCTCCTAAGATAGCTATTACAGATGATAAAGTAGGAGATGTTGCCAAGATACTACAGGATATTTCTCTTGAAGGTAAAGGAGCAACTACCACAGATGCAGAAGATGGAGTGATGAAGAACAATGGTCTTCCATCAGCTCTTGATGTGGGATCTAAGTACAGTCGAAGCATAAGCACAGGATCTGAGGGTTACTTAACAAGCTCCATTGGTAGCGACTCATCTAATGACTCAACAACTCATTTCATTTTCCGTGACAATAGGCACCCCTCCCATTTCATTAAGGCGATGGTTAAGCTCCGTCAAGAAGGTCGTCTCACCGATGTCGTGCTCAGGACCAAGATTAAAGACTTTCCATGTCACAGGGTAGTCCTGGAAGCCTCCAGCAGTTACCTGTCTCAAGTGATTTCAAGGGATTTAGATGGCACAAATGCCATGGATGTACACATGAGGAAGATATCGCCTGATGTCTTGCAGAAATTGATCCATTTTATGTATACAGGCAGGGTGGCTGTATCAGATCGAGATGCTGCTCAGGTTTATAGAGCAGCTAAGCGCTTTGGTCTTGACGATGTTTGCCATTCATGTGCTGTTGTTGATCCAAGTTTAGATTCAACATCTACTGCCAACACCAGCCTGACTGACAGTGTGCTGTCTGAGGCAACACATCCAGGTAGTCTTGAAAACCTGCTGGATTAATGACGAATTGACACAGCACGTATCCCGTATGTAAAAAATTATACATGGACCATGTAATGTCTATTTCTAATTAGGGAATTCCCTACTTGAGAATCCTGAATCGGCCTGAGATATAAAGCACCCCTTGCTGATTCAAAACATGTAACAGCAGGCAATTCATGCAGCATAGGATTGTCACCAATCACATGCAATCTATAATGACGAACCAGTCAGCAAGCTGATCCAATCTACATGTGACTGTAACATATCTCTGTTGCAGAGACAAAGTACAAATCTAGAAAGCTTGATATATATATGTAGCAGTCATTACATATGTTTAGGAATAGTGGCCTTGTTTATAGGAAAAAGGATGAACCATACAAAACTAGTTACCTTGGAAAAACAAGATCCAATTTTTGGTTGAAAATATAACTTTAATTTAGTGGTCGGTTGCTCAGAATACAAAAGCTAAAAATACTGAATGAAAGAATATACTGGTGGCTACTTCTGCAGTTTCGATATCCTGACATAATGTGACATTAAGCTAAATCTCCATGAGATTTTTTTGCAAAATACAGTGATTAAAAAGTATTGGTGTACTATGTACATGAACATATTGATGTGAGACATAATGAACTGGCTATATGAAACAGTATGTCTATGGGAAATGGCTGAGGCTAGCAGTAACACTCATAGGCGCAAGTGTTAGTTCAAGACACAGCCAATAATTAGATGTAGCCATAGACTGGAGTTTGCTCCCTGTGATCATGTTTTAGACTTGGTATTGACGAATGAGAACTGGTCCAATACTTAACATGTACAGCTCAGCTGATTGGTTTGTGTAAGCTATTATCACAATCATAAAATCACTGTATGTCAGTAGAATATTCTTACATTGACAGCAATGATTGACGTGCTTACTATTCAAAGATCATCCATGTGCATACATATTGCCCGTGTAAACCAGAAACAATGAGTAAACTCAGATGCCGTGTTACACAGACTTACTGGTCACAGATAGTCATCTGTTAAGTGCATGTTTGATATTCATGAATACTTGTACTATACAGAATTCCACTTTTTGTAAATGCTAATAAATGTACTACTGATTACTCCTTTACAAAATATACTTGTACAGAAATAACATGTTGAAAGGACTGAGTATGTTAGAATATTATCAGCTCTAAACAACAGATCCAAACACTTAAAATAAATGTAAGGTTGGTTTTCTGAACCGAAAGAAAAACTTATCCAGTCCAACTGTAAATAAATGGTTCTAAGAAACTGTTTTGAGAAATATCTTTTCTATGATATTTTAGTCAAAAAGATTTAGAGACATTGTTGTACGATCCATTTGTCAAGAAAAACAGGCTAGTTGGTCCTTCGATTTCCTGGAGGGTCTTCACTTCAGTAAGCTGCAGTTGATTGTATTTTAGTAGCTTACCAGTTATAAAACATTACTCTTTTTGCAAAAAGTTATCACGCTTTTATCCCCTCCCCATGGAATACGTTAGTTCCCAAGTACTGGGATAGGCTAAACTGAAAAACCTGTTAGGATACAAAAATATTGCATTGATGAAGTTGATTTGAATGTGTCAAAAAAAACTGTTGATTGAGTAGCCTTGCTGATTAGTCTGTTGTATAAATGTGTCTTGGTGAGGGTAATGAATCCTGATGGAAAATTAAATGTGAAAATGGTTAGGCCTTTTTTTGAATTTTGAAAGGCAAGAGAAAAATCTTAAACTGCTTGACAAGACTATGCAAAATACTTTGGAGAGTCAAAAAGTGTATTAAACACTTTATTTCATGTTGTGTAAATGTGTTCTTTCCAACATTACTAGTTCATGATATACAGTGTATTCCATATTTATTTTTAAAATCTATGCACAAAATAGTGGATTAAAACAATAGTGATTACTTTCTTTTTAGCAAGCTGGAATTTGGGAGAATTCATAATTAAAACATTTCCAGTGCCCCAGATGTTGAAACAACATGGACTGTTATGTGATTTTGTCTTAAATACTATCCTTAACCAATGCAGAATTTATAATATTCATCATTATTGATTTATTTCTAACATTTATTTTTTTTATTCATCACAAATATTTTCTCCCATGTTTTACAAAATGCCTTTTTTGCAAACTTAATTGTAATATTTTAAGCAGTCATAAACGCTAATGAAAGACATCAAGTTTCTACAACATCACTTGCATTTCATGATGGAATATGGCATCTTGAGCAATTCTTTGACAGTCTACTGAATACTGGTAAGATTCTAAGGCACATTGTTATGGAATATTAAGAAGTTCATACCTCTCATTCATTTGATGGCATGGCAACTTCATTTCTTCTTCTTCTGTTTGGGATAAAGCAAAAAAAACAACAACAGAGAATGTAAATGTTGGCCACAGCACTTGGACAAACTAAACTAGCACAAAAAAAACTCATGTACACGTTCATATTTCATAATCCAAATCTCGGAACGTGTAATAAACACACTATGAGCAGACTGAAAAGGAAGTCTTCTGGGAAACCGACACCATTTAGCATTTATTTGTCTTGCTGTACCAACATACTAACCTTTTTTTTGCCCTTTTTCTTTCCTTTTTTCTTGAGGCCTGCCCCCAGCTTCATGATAGCAGCAAATGTCTCGGAGTTCATCCGGTGTGTTACACTCATCTTCATGGACGGATGCCCTGCCTCCTTCCTGTTATTCAAAGCTTCCAGGATCTCTCTCCCTCCAAGATCACCAATGAGATTATCCTCGATGTCTAGCTCCTGCAGGCAGCTGGAATACTGGATCAGCCTGTTGGGGATTTCAAAGGGGAAAAAAGTACAAGTTCACTGACAGTATGTGTTAAAATCACACAGTCCTTTAGCATGTTGCTTGAGTTAATTGGTTAATTTACTCACTGTCTTAGAAGCCTGGTGATAATAACAGGAGCATAGGTGGAGCCTCGCCCATAGCTATCGATACCATTATCTTCAAGGTGTAGTTTATATATCCAGGGACCAACGGGGGGTGGTTCAGGTGGGGCTTTGGTTTTCTTTTTCTTCTTTCCTGCAGCAGTTGAGATGTCAATAAAGAAGTCAGAAGACAAAGATAGGAGGAAGAATCCGCAGTAGAAAAACTACAATTTGGACAAAAATAATTATAAATAGCAAAGAAGTAGCCACCAGTTACCCTTTTTCTTCTTTTTCTTTCCTGAACCTGTTTTGCTGCTCTTAGCTGAGTCCGGCTTCTTTAGTTGTTCATCTGTTGACATTGCTGTTGGCATTCTTCCTCGTTCCTTCTCTGATGAACGAAACAGACAGTTTATTACACACTTGGATAATAGATGAGTCCAAAGTTGACTTTTCTTCCACACAGACAAAATTGTACAATGTATCTCGTCCACAAAAGTATTTCGATAGCTTATTTGTTTATGGCAGCAACTGCAAAACCTTCCTTATTCATTTATTTATTTATTATTCTCTTTATCTTAAAATTTAGAGAGACAGTTGGATTAGTTGTGCCCCATGTGAGACTATGATCAGTATACTGAATTTTTCTTCAGAAAAAAGTCCCATTACCCAGCAATATTACTGTAGGGATCTGGGAATTCCCCATCTAATTTAGCGAATTGTGTGACCTTTGAACCTTGTGCACGTCTTCAAGGCGTGATTGGACCCACGTGCACAGAATGTACATGTACAGTACAAGCATTTTCTGTAAGTCTTGCCTGTCGGCCGGAAGTGGCCAACAAGGTGATACTTTTGGCAGCACTGAAGTTGGGCGGGTTTCCAAGGTTTTTTTCGGGAGAGCAGGGAGTGCTGTGCGAGCCGACTGGGTGGATGGATGTTATGATGGCTTGGCCGGGAATCACATAAATTAGTACCGGTTTAATTGTCCAAGCAGTTGTGATAATAGTGATGGCGAAATTAAAGAAATCCAGTCCGCATGAATACCCAAGTCTTTCAGTGCCTGCTGAACTTTCTGTTTGCCTGCCTGGCCTCTAATTCCCCCTTCAGTGCGGACGGACCGCCGCCCCCAAGCGATCGGCCGGGGGCCGGACCGCTACATTACTAACCCATTAGACAGCAATATTACAAACCCATCAGCAATGCCTGTGCCTCTTCTTCAGCTTTTAATCTTGCCACCTCATTCCGCTCATAATTCTCCATTTCAGCATGATCAGCTGCGAGTTTGATCAGTTCAATAGCACCCTCTGCCTCCAGGTTGTTGCCATTCAGGTAGATTTCTCTACATAAATAATTTTATGTTGGAGCAGAAGTAAGACGTGAAAGACAATTTTCCAAGCAGTGCATGTGTCGAGCCTGAGATTGTCTCTTAGAGCATGCCTCAAGATTAAAGTGACTCATAGACAAGTGTCACTACTCACCTGAGTGCAGTCGTTGAGACTACGTCTCCTAGCAAAGAGCCTGCCTCTACTCCTAGATCACAGTAGCAGAGACTCAAACTCAGTAAAAGACGATTGTTCTTGAGACCTTTACAAATTCCTCTGAGCCCTTCATTACCAAATCTAGAAATAGAAAAAAAATGACAAGAAAAGGAAAAATTAGAAAATTTTTAAAAGCATTCTGTACAAGCTTTAAATGTTTAAAAGGCTCAAATATCAAAGTTACAACTGTACAAATGGCTCAAAACTGAAAAAAGAGAAATTTGTACTTACTCATTGTAATCAAAAGCCAGAGTACTTATGATTGTCATCGGCATGCATCTAAAAAAAAAACCCAAACCTCATCTTTAGCCTCTTCAGATGACCCTTCAGTATGTAACAAGCTATTTAATGTAAAACTTGGTAACCTTTGGCCTATTATGAATCAAACAGGTTATAGTTGACACTCAGTTGTATTTGTCAGCACAGCCAACAGCCAGTAAGATACAGCAACAAGTGTCAGTTTGGGTAAATGCTCTGATGACATCAGATGTTGGATGGCGATTAATTTTTTGAAGCCAAATGATGATAAGACAGATCTGCTTATCATTGGATCGCATATGTCGTTGAGCAAAATTCCTAGAACTGTTGTGAATATTGGTAATCACAATATTACCGCAGTCTCTGAAGTTAAGAGTCTGGGTGTGATTTTTGACAACAAAATGAAAATGCAATCCCACATCAAGAATGTCTCTTGCACTGCAATGTATCACCTGTACAATATAGGCAAAATTAAATGTTATTTGGGTCAATCAGCCATGGAGCAGATTATTCATGCACTTGTTACATGTACGTCTCGCATAAACTACTGTAACTCTGCGTCAGCCCTTGCTCCTTTGCAGAGTCCAGAATGCTGCAGCAAGGTTACTCACTAATGGCAAGAAATTTGACCACATTACTCCTGCGCTGATGCAATTACATTGGTTGCCAGTAAAATATGGGGTAATTTTTAAAGTATGTCTCCTGATCTTTAAATGTCTCCACGACAGTGCTCCAAGTTATTTAAGTGATTTGTTTCCGCGCTGGACTCGTCTAGGTTTACTCTTCCAAAAACTAGGCTGTCTTCTGCTGGCAAGAGGATGCTTTCTGTGGCTGGTCCCCGTCTCTGGAACTAGCTTGAAGTTCATCTTAGAGAGTCTAGGAATCTGGAGAGTTTTAAGACCGGGCTGAAGACACACGTTTTTAAACAAGCGTTTTTAATTTCTTAGTATTGTTTTTAATTATTGTACATGTAGGTTATATTTATTTATTTATATTTTGAAGTACAGTGCCTGGGAGTAGCTTGATAGATTGGGCGCTTTATAAATGCCAATTATTATTTATTATTATTAGTCGCGTCGTTTTTCCAATTAATCCTTTTGAAGAATGATGCTTACACCCAGATAATCTTACTTCATGAGTCGTTCCACTGCATAAGCATCGATGTCACAGTCAATCAATTCCAGTCTTGTCACTGGATAGACCCCTTTCTCCAACATCAGTGCCTTAAAAAAAAAAAATCTCTTTTGAGAAATAGATCTTTCAGAAATGACAGGTTGTTTTTCTGTTATGTTCATGTTGTGTCTACTTAATCTTATTGCAGTTGTGATCATATTGTGTTACTGCAATTTTGACTCTGAAGTCTGACAATAGTGGTTCTCATAGCAGACATCTGTTAATGACAATCATATCAAAATACACAATTGGTCCTCCTCAACCTATATCTATGCATACTTTTACATGTATAACAATTTCTAATACTGAGTTCTTTGCAAAGGAGTTTTCAATCTTTTCGGCGTTCACATGGATGAATTGCCACTTTATATTGCCATATAAAAGTGTCACTATGTTGAAGTTTGAAAATGTTCTAAACTAACCAATGAAGCAAGGTGTTCATGTTTAAGGGGTATGTCCCAGACGTGCAACTCCTTGATGTATTTGTATCTTTCTTGTCGTATTGACATGATAAGCGGTTCCAACATGACGTTACTCAGAATGGGATCTTGGAAGTCAGCAACAGGTTCTAAAATAAACTGGAATGAGAAAAATACAATTTGAACATACACTGTACATTATAATGTGATCAGTTCCGTGAAAACAGGGCAAAACTGAACAAACCAGAGATAGTTTCCAGCACATATAGAAAGATTCTTATAATAATTTGGTCATCTATCTTGTTTCTCAATAAAAGCTCCCAATCTTTTTAAGGCATGTAAACACAAATGAAATGTGACATCATAAATGCTATAAATTACAGTGTAGGTACCTTGACAATGAGTTTATTATCTTCGTAACAGCGTTTCATAAAACTTTTCAGGCTGGGGCACACGATGGATTTCTTGTTTTCACAGTTGCTGAGATAGATTCGATGCAATCTCTTGACAATGTCACCAGGAGTCTCTCCAATTCCTTTTAACTTCTTCTTTTTCTTTCCTTTTCCTTTTCCCTTTTTCTTTCCTTTACCTGGCATTGTGATGACTAAACGTACCTGTCACAAAATAAAATGAAAGAATTCCTTCATTCAAAAACATTTTCAGCTGAAACTCTTTACACAGGACTGCAAGCCTACACGTCTATATCTGCGAGAAATATCCTGAACGCTCGCCAAGTGTGAAACTGTTACTTATTCCACACTACATACATGTATCAAATTGGTAACTTTTTTCAAATCAAAATCAGTTTGAAAATTATCAACTACAGGTGTCCCACTGTGAAAATATGATTATTTAATTATATTTTTGAATGTATATGTTGTTGATACAAAAGTGACTGCATGATTTTTTGCAAGTTCTGCAAACAAGTTTTAGATACCAAAATGCGCTTTCAGTGTGCGTGTGGCACACGTCCTGTGTCAGAAAAACATGACCTAGGCCTACCATACAGATGGCAGAGTTTGTATGTCATGTATGTGCCGGCAAATGTTTGCGGAACTGGGCATACTATAAATCAACTGTAGGCCTAGGCCTACAAAATAAAGCTGACATGAACATGATGAAACAAGCATGGCGGCAAGCTTCCTAGCAAAGCTGGTAAACATAGTAAAATTATGACATGTATGAAGTCAAAATTAACAAAGTGTCCCTAGACATGCCGGAAGACAGCCCCACTACTAGTGTGGCACGGACTATCACTCCCGATCTATCCTAAGGATGGATCGGGAGTGAGAGTCCGTGCCGTGCCACACTAGTGGGGCTAGCCGGAAGACATGCTTTATGCTACTTACGAGTTACAATGTTATGGGAAACGAATATAAGAGAATCCTTGTGCTTGTAGGCCACTACTTCAATAGATGACCCAAACCTCCATGACCAAAACAAACTACGATTGCACATCGTCGTCACACGTCATACGCATCTGCATGCAGCTAGCGAGTTCTAGCTGCATGATCGTGTGGTCGGTTGTCATTGCAACTAAATCGCTACAAGTTTCCTCTGGAGGGCGCTCTAAAAGGTTTTGACATGTGACCTCATTGCTGACCCTCTCAGAATTTTTGACCAATCAGATTGCAACACATCCGTAATATACCGGAAGTGTTGTTTTGCTGTCGTGTGCTTCTACAGAGCTAGAGATGTGTTTACACGCTGCCGGTGAAAGTATATAAATTCCAAAAGATTGTTTTCAGGAACGAAGTCATTGTTGTCTTGATGAACTTGTCGAAATGATTAATTTCAACCGATTTTTCTCATCGTTACCGTTGCTTTTGGCGACGCTTGCTGTGCAGTATGAAGGTAGGATCTCCTTTTCCGAGTACCAACATGACCAATGCCTACGCGCTACGACGGCTACGGACATTCAGACAGTAGCCTATTTTCAGATTTTGGGAAGAGTTAATTCTATACATCATACCGTTTTTCATTGTATTAGTTTTAAGAAAAGATTGTTTCACTTTGTTGACTTAATTTAAATTCAACATTTTGAAGGGGATTTTTTTCTGTGATCTGTAGCTCTTGAATTTGTGAAGAGGATGTAAAATCTGAAAACCATTCAGTAGACAGTAAATGCATACCCAAGTTGACTGCAGTAATAATATCAAAGTAATTGTCTTAGTTGACAGTGATTTTAAACATCTTTTCTGATTCAGAGGGGAGAGCAGAGTCAAACTCAGAGAGACTTCTGAAATTTGGCAATTCATTGTTGGCCCAGGGACAACTAGCGGATGCACTTGCACAGTTCACCTCAGCCATTGGTGAGAGATGAGTACAATTTCAAAATTCAAAGTTGTAGGTGTTGTTTTTTCACACCTGTTTGTTGTTGAAAAAAATGTCTTCCAGGCTCCCTCCCTTTCCTGATCATTTGTTTCATTGAGGAAGAGAGCTACTGACACCCAATGTATGGGGCCCCTCTTTTGTAGATGTTTTGTGGGTTATATGGGAAATAGAAATTTTCAATTTCAAATTCCTCAGAAAACAGTCATAAGAATTTACAAAAATTCCTAGAAGATGAATCACCCAAAAATGTAAACAGTCCCATTCCCTGTAACAGATGGAAGATTCAAAAGTTCTAGGGTTAATATTACGAAATATTTTTACTCTGTCTTAATAGTGCAAACACTGCAATTGTGCATAAAATGTGTACATGATGCTTCAAGTCTGGGGTGTGGATATATGTTGATTAAGGAGTTGTCTTCATTGTTTTTCAGAGAAAGATCCTGATAACTACATGGCGTACTACAAAAGAGCTACAGTCTACCTTGCCCAAGGAAGATCAAAGGCAGCTTTACCTGATCTCAAAAAAACTATGAAACTGAAACCAGACTTTACATCAGCGTTTATTCACCATGGTAACATTCTTCTTAAGCTTGGCAGAATGGATGAAGCAAAGAAAGATTATATTGAAGCGGTGAGTAATGTCAAATATTGACAAATATATTAATTTGCAATCGTTGGAAAGAGAGTATTCTTGACCATCCAAGATAAAAAATAGAAAAATCACAAGCATTTCAGTGTGATAGTGTCATTGTATGACAAAGCATGATTTTTTAAAATTTAGAGCCGTAGGCACCACTGTGAGAGCCAAAATTTTGCAACAAGAAGTATGTTTTTGGTAAATTAATGTCAGATTGTTGCACTTTCAGCAGTCTTAATTTTTTCTGGTGCATATGTACCCATTTTTCATGAACAGTTAAGACAAGACCCTGGGAACAAAGAAGCGAAGGAAAATCTTAATGTCATCCCTCAGTTGAAGCAACGGTTGAAGGATGCAGAGAGCTTGGTGAAAGCAGAACGCTATGAAGAGGCTGTGGACTACTACTCATCTATTGTTTCTGTATGTTTTAAGTAAATGATTGAAACCTGATTGATACCAGTTGTCAGGAGATAATAGTGAAGATTCCAAACACATTTTGATTGCTTTGTTGAATAATTTATCTATAGAGGGACCCTGGTACACTTCTGTGGCCAACTGGAGAGCAACTTTTATAGTCGTTTTCACCCAGATATTTTCATTCATTGATTATTTTTTTATTGACAGTATGTACCTTGGAATGTTGGGTTCAGACAGTTGAGAGCTGATGCATACGTTATGTATGGTAATTACTACAAAGCTATTGATGACTACAGAGCTATAACCAAGCTAAAACCAGACAGTACTGAGGAATATTTTCAGATGAGCCATCTATTCTATATCTTAGGAGACTTAGAGGAATCCCTCAGGTATGGATTATTTCCATCAACCATTTATTCTTTCTTTCTCCTATTTTGCTTGGTCTCTACAACTTTGCCCTCTGTAGTTCTGTCAGTCCCATCTCTTCATCAACATTACTTTCTGTCTTCTCATCTTCATTTATGCATCGTTTCTCAAACATGCCCTTCCCAAGGCGAACCCTTTCCTACCCAGAAAACAGTCCTGACCCCAGAGTTTTCCATTATTCATCCCCATGCATTATGGATAAATTTCTCATTTAGCACTGTCTTTTGTAGTTCACTTTAAATTTCGTTCATTTATCAGTAGTTTTACAAATTCAGTTTTCTGTCACACTTATTAATAAAAATGTGTTACCATTTTAACAAAGTCCTGTGCTGTTTGTGATACTACTGATATTAAACTTCTTTGAACATGCTTTTGCCAGTTCATGTTGTACTCACAACCTCTAAATATTGATAACAATATAGCAAAGTTCACTTCGTAGTTACTCTTTCACCTGATCCCAATGTGCACTTCTAATTACAAAGAGTCTTGTTGCCCCTTAAGCGTCTGGTTAATCTTGCCAAAAGTAGACTTTGTCCTGTTTTGTTTTCTTCCTGACAGTTCCATACGGGAGTGCTTGAAGCTGGATCAGGATCACAAAGATTGTTACGCTCATTACAAAAAAGTCAAGAAGCTTGACAGACAGTACACACAAGGTCAAAACTTGATCAATGAAGAGAGGTGAGTTGAACATTCAGAAGTGATATATTAATCTCAAACAGGATGACTAAAGGAATATAATTCTAGTATTGTTTATGTGATATAAAATTCTTTTGTTCCTGCCTCTAGATATGATGAAGCAATCCAAAGATATCATCAAACGATGGAAACAGAACCTGAAGATGCTTATGTGTACCACTCAAGAAGTAAGGCAAAAATATGCCATTGCTATACCAAGGTGAGTGAAAGAGGTGAATGTTGAACAGGTTTTGAGACTCACTGCCTTCATTGATATGGAAAAGTTACATAAAATTGTCAGAAATGAGCCAGTTATTTTTTTGTACACTTAGAACAGTACACTCAATGTCATGGGTTTAATTATTACTGGTTGCCCACACCACATAGAAGAAATGTCACCTTGATTCCTTAATTTCCTTAAAAGAACAGTTTTATAACAATTACCTTGTCTCTTGCTGAAATTTTTTACTTTCACCTTGGAGTTAAACACTGTATATATTTCTTTATTTAAATTTGATCGTTGCAGATGCAAAACACAGCACAAGCTTATAAAATCTGTAATGAGGTCTTAGAACGAGAGAGTGATAATGTTGATGTTTTACTTGACAGAGGAGAGGCATATCTTCTCGATGAAATGTATGACAAAGGTAGGTTTTGCCTTGAGTTTACAACACTTGTGACACTATAATACACTAACGTAAAATTATTATGTGGAAATATTGGACCAAAGTGAAAGAGTTAGTGTTGATGTTTGAAAGAGCATATGGCCTGGGATAAAAGTGGTAATCACACATTTATCTCAATAAATAATACAAAAATGTCAATCCTGCTCCAATTCATGAAAATCCAAAAAGGATCTCTCCTGCATTTCAAGGATTCAACACTGTAGAGTTATCCACCTATACTTTTTGTGGAACTCCATGTTTCAATTTGTCTAGTATCTGGAATGTTCTGTTGGCTTTCTTGAAATTGTTGGATATTTCAAGCAGATCAGGTTCTGAGTTCTTAGCAAGGGAGAAGTGATTAAACTGGACTAAATAAATTTTGTTACCAGAAGGAAAATCTTAGTTATGTCATTGAATGTCTTTTATTCCAGCTTTGGAAGATTTTAGGAGAGCAAACGAGCTTGAGGATAGCCAAAGAACACAAGATGGTCTCAATAAAGCACAGAAATTACTGAAGCAATCACAGAAAAGAGACTATTACAAGATATTAGGAGTTAAAAGGTAATTATGAACTACATAAAACTTAAGTCATTCTGCATCTGTACAATGCTGTACCATTTTTTTGTCTTTTGACAGTACAGTTATCTATTTGCTTCTTTCCATCATTGTGGTGTATTTAGACAACTTACTGACTTTTAGTATTCATAAATTGGATGTCATTGCTGGTACAGGACTAACAGGTGCAGCAGTCAACAATTTTAATTTTGAGTATGAATAAATAGTGAAATGAATTATGAAAAAGCGTTGAAAGGAAGGCCGCATAATGCCAGTATATGTTTCAAAAAAATGTTGCAGGAAAATATGGAATATGTCATTATTTTCCCACACTTTTTATCAAATACTCTTATTTTCCTCATTTGTCAATTATTTTACGCTCAAATTGAAGCTTTTCACAAAAAAAGGCAGTTTGATGTTAAAAATTATTGGCTTTTGTAATCTGAGTGTATTTCTTTGATCTTTTGAAATAGAACTGCAAAAAAGAGAGAAATTCTGAAAGCTTATAGGAAGCTAGCGCAGCAGTGGCATCCAGATAAACACGAAGATGGAGTAGCCAAAGAAAAAGCATCCAAAATGTTTATGGATATAGCAGCAGCTAAAGAAGTACTAACAGATCCAGGTAGGTCAAAGTTAATTACAGGTTGTGTTTGGATTACACACGAAGTTTAGTTATTTGAAGAGGCAGTAATGACAAAACTCTTAAAATCTGTTTTTTGGTAGAGAAACGTCAGCAATTTGATCAAGGGGAGGATCCCTTAGATCCAGAGGAGCAACAGAAGAGAAATCAACATTGGGGGAATCCATTTGGAGGTGGATTCAATCCTTTTGGAAGTGGAGGAGGTGGTTTTAATTTCAAATTTCACTTTCCATGAGTGAAAATTTAGGTTTAGTATAAATAATTGCTCAGGGGCTGGTTGAAATGAACACTGATTGACACTAATGCACCACTGCTCCTTATTGTTCCGTCTTCAATATTTGGTCATCACCCTGATCTGCCCACCTTCACAAATATCTTTGTACGTCAAAGCAAGGTGTTTTTGTGTGATGGTCCATTTTATATTGACCACCTGTAGTTATTTATAGGTTATAAAGAAGTACACATTGAGATTGGAATCAAGACCTAAGTACATGTACCTTCTGGGGTCGGTGAATTCAATACTTGGTGGGTGAAATAAACATAAAACTCCTAGGCTGATTGATGGATGATGTGAGCGTCCATGTACATTTCATATCAGACTGATGGAAATTCCACTTTCCTGGTATTAAATGTACACATGGCAGCTTGTTTCACTGGTCAAAGTGAAAAAAAGAATTTTTGTTTTTAATAATGTGATACTCTTGGAAGTGGGCAAAACAGTCCAAGCAAGATAAGCTATTTTCATACTTTTTCATTTCTTTGTTTGGTATTCAAAGTCATTAATGTCATGGTTTCTTTGTTATAAAGATTTTTACTAAGGTCATTCAAATACTTTACTGATGAATTTTGGTCATTGTTAAATTCGAAACTTGCATAAGAAAATGAGTGCCTTTTAATTTAAACTTTAGTTTGAGTCATTGTAAACCTAAATGTTGGGTTTGTATTCGACTATACAAATGAAGATAGAAGTAATGGGTGCCCAGACAGAAATCTACACCACATGTTGGTTACCACCTGTTGGCATCATTTTGTGGTTTCTATAGGAATCTGAGTTGGCTGTAACAAAGATCGAATAGAGACAAAGGTTTGCAACATCAGCGTTAGACTGCAGTTGCGATTAAGGGCAGTTAAAATTCCAGGACCGAAACCCAACTGTGTTCATTTTTTTTTTAATTTGGTTTTTTTTGGGGGGGGGTAATCTTGTCAGACAAATGTTCATTGGAATGAGGTCCAGTGACACCACGATCTGGCTTGCGTCAAAGTCATGCTTTACTGTTCAAAGTTGATGTATGACTTGTCATTTTTTGGCAATTATCACTTGTGTATTTCATCTCTTAGATTATTCGTCGTCAGTGAAATCGCCAGCCGTCAATGTCTTTGATATGCAGATTGTGTTGGTATTTTACTTGCGAACCTTAATTGTGGGAACACCATAATCTTAGTCTAAATAGAACCTGGCCGATTTTTGCCACAGCATTTTTTTTTTTTTTTGCTTACTTTTCAGAACAGCATCGAGTACCACAAATAAGGATTATCCTTTAAGTTTTCATTGTTCTGGGTTGAGAAAAAAGTAGTTTTTCCTCCTTGTTTAAAGATACATTTGGAAGTATTTCAACAACAAATAAAAACATTAAAATTTCATCACTCTAAAACTTGGTATTTGACACTTTGAAGAAAATAAAATGCAATAAACTTTTTTTGACTTTATCAAAATGTAAACATTAAGCATGTACTATCATAAAAAATTGTGAACTTTAACTTGAAGACGATTTATAAGAAAATCTTTCAAAAAGTATAGGTAGGCTGTAATTCATGGAAATACTCTTCATTAGTAGAAGCCCCTAAATTCAAACTTGAAGACAAAACAAAACACAAGAAATAAGGTAAGCATTGGGAACACCATAGTTTAATAAGAGTGTAAAACCTTACAAACCAGATCAGATTATAAGCCTTCATAATATATATTTTGTATCTTAATCTGAAAGATTTCAAGACCATCATGGCTTCACCCTAACTGTCCCTTACTCAAAACTGTTACATTTCACAAAGAAAAACTCTGTAAAGATCGACAGTGTGTATGTACAATGGAAGTATATAATATCCATTAAAAATCACTTTGAATTATTTGAAGGGTTTAGGTAAACTACCCAATAGCAAGTTTACTTTTCCAAACCAGTACACATTTTTTTCCGATTCACATTGGATCAAAAGAGTTTTAAAATGCTTCTCTCACACATTCCACTCTCGCTATAGTTGTATATTCTTACTAGACTGAGCTATTTATAGTTCATAATATTCAAACAAAAAGTTTTTGTACACTTTGACAAACTGCTCTCAAATTCTGAAGTTAGTCTACATTTTACTGTAAACTAGCTAAACCTTTCTTTGAATGCGACCCGTTTCGATGAAAAAGCTGCATTTCTACATGTCTTATCTCAAAACCAACGACGTTTCTATTCACATTTTAGTCAAATGAGTTCCTCACTTTCAATTTCTCATATCCTTTATGTATTTTTATGACAGATAAATGAAAAGAAATGGCAACCAAACATTAACAATGCACTTTTCCTGTGTAAACTAATTCTGCCACCCTTTTCACACTAGGTTTAATAGTAAAAATATAGCATTTTTAACAGCTGTTTCCAAAATGCTACAGGTAAAACACATATCTTTTGCGATGAAGCAATTGACTGCAACACTGTCGAGCATTGTTCATATTATCTCTGAGGAGGCTTTTCAACTAACTGTCCGTATGCACATCAGTTTAGAAAAGCACTCCTATGGACAAGAGATTAGATTGATCAGGCATCTCTCCATGTTTGCATTACATTCTAAAACTCCTCACAGACTAAAACATAAATTGTATACATTCCACAGTGTCAGATGGCAACAATTTGCCGATTTTATGCATTATATTACAAAAAGCTGTGCAAAAAATCATTAAAATTCTGTCTCACTATCCTTGTATTTTACTGTCATACACTCAACCTCATTTCAAACAAATGTCTGTTTAGTTTTGCCAACCACGACACAGGATGGAGATATTTCTACCCTGAGCACACGATTGGAAACCTGTCACAAAATGTGAACAATAAAACTTTCCTGATTCAAATCTGAATGTTCCTTTACTGTCATGATAAAAACTGATACAGAGTAAGTTGCAATGTGGTTGCTCACTTTAGTATGATTCAAAATGATGGATGTTGGACAAATGGCCAGCATTTCTAGATGTTACATAATGTTCTGGCGAAAGCATATATTTGATACAGAATAAGTCAAATAATACAAACATATCTAAAACAACACACAGACTACAACCGGATTTCGGAATGAACTCTTTTGCAGCTTCAAAGCAAAGACACTGATTGTTGTTGGGATTGGAGGGTATTTGGAGAAACATTGTATAGCAACGTCTGCATTATCTGTTACAAATCCAAACCAAATGCCAAACAAAGGATGGAATAAAGATAAAAGCTGCAATGTGACAAATAGATGGCATAGGTACCAGCATGCATACACTCGATATCCATTTTTTCTGTAACTAAACACGGCTTTTTGCGGAAGCATTACACAGTTTGAGCGTACAAGCAACTATAACCTGTTAGGAAGACCAGTTAACGTATCTCCATGTTATCTGTCACAGTACTGAAGCCATGCATGAGGTTCCCGTATTGGAGACTTGTACAGTGATTTGCATTAATTATTGGTTACAGCAAAACCATACTTCCTGTGAACACACTGCAGTCCCATCCTGAACAATTAAGAATTTCAGTAAAAAGCAAACATGATTACGTAACCAAAACATAGGTAGATATATTCATGATACAAATATCTCAACGGCACACCATGACTACATAAAGAACAAAACAGCATCCATGTGTAATTTACGAATCTGAAAGGAGTCTTCAATACGGATTCAATCCTTGTATCCAACAGTCAACAGCTAGAAACATCTAACTGTAAAGAAGAAACTGACGGCTTGATGAAATGAGAAAAGATACATGGAACACTTAAACCAATCAGAGCAAACTCAGTAAATCTTTTTTCAATACCTAGGGTTCAGCATGCACTTTAAAATTGTGAAATAGACCAAAAGTGTTTTCTAATTCCGATGTCTCTAACAAACAATGGAGCTCCCTGACTGGCAATCATATACATGTAGATACATGAACATAACAGCACAACACACACCTATTTCCTGGTAAGCCGCCAAGCTTCAACTTTGGTCAACATTCCCACTTTAACTTAGTCCCAATTTTGTGAGCTTCAAAGCAAAGCAGTCATGAACAAGGCTGTGTACATTAAGCACATACCACAAGTGAGTCTTGCATAATAAATATCCATTCTTGAACATTTTCTGTTTTCTTATACATCTATCTCTGACTCTGAATCAGAGCCACTGTCCATGAGTGACGAGGGGGTGTCAGTTGCTCCACGTGATGGTCCTGCATCAGAAAACGACCCTAGGCTTGAGCTTTGAGAGGCTGAGCCAATACCCTCTACAGCCATGGCAACTTCTTCATCAGTCTGTGATAATGGTGTAGCTAGTGGTGACAACTGTGGGTTACGATGGTATGCCTTGGAGCTTGAAGGCGTGGCTTGAGCATGGGTAGATGAGGCATGGGTGTGGATTCCACTAGGTCCCGCCCTGATTGATGTACTTGAGGTTGTGGCTCTGTCTCTGTCAGCCATTTCTGAGAAAGTAAAAGTCATAAAAAAAAGGACAACTTGTTCTGCTTTAAATGGCTTAGACGAGTACTAATTCTTGCTGAGAATGGCAAAAACAGGTGAAATACTTCAGACATCAACAACATATTGAGTTGTTGGATCTGGTTGATCTGGGCATTAGAAGTGAGTGCTGAGGGCTGTTGGAGTTATTGCCATTATTGAAATCTGTCAGATCCAGTGAGAAGCCAGGAGATAGGTAATGACTATGAACAAAAAATATGAATGTCACTGCTTAGTCATTTTAATTTGATGTCCAGAGAGTGTGATGACTTACCCAGTACGTATTGCTCTAGTGCTTTTGGTACCATAGTCCTGGCTTTCTCCAAGTCACTACTACTACACTGTCCTTTCTCCAGGCCAAACGCCATCCCCATGCGCTTCAAAACTTCAATATCATCATGAATCTCAAAGGTGTTGTCAAAATTAAACAGATACTCAAACCTGTAGTGAAATGAGAAACAAAACTTTGTATGTGACAGTGTCACAGTTGGTTTATACAAGGTGTATCAAAATAGAGGAATCCAAAATCAACCATAAATCATAGGAAAACTGCAGATGCCTTAAGTAAGCATTATACATTTCCAGAAAGGCCTAAGTGTCTTCTTTTCAATGACACCTTGATCATGCGCTCAATATCATGGTTGAACGAGTAACATTGCATTGTTGACCAGCAGGTGACATTTGTACTGTGACAAGTTAGTATACACTGCACAGAAGATGATGGTAACATGGGCAACAAACAAGTGCTGCTGAATGTGTATGCTAACTTGTCACACAAAATGCATACGGCTTGAAGTCAAAAATCTCACATTAGTTACACAGGATAACAATTTCTGGCTAAGTAACTTTCAAGTAGATGCGTACTGTACTCAATAAATTATGCACCTTAAATGTGACTGACATTCTCCTATATGCATCCCTAGCTTACACCACAGGACTAAAGTAAAGTCTTGATAGCTTGACACATCTGACACAATAACCTACTTACTTGTCATTGGAGATACTGCAGTCAATGACTGTCTTCTTGCTTGTATTAACAATTATATAAGGCAGATGAATGGCAGAATTGCTGGTAGGAGGGCCCACTCCTGATTCCTCTAACCTCTTATTCCTCTGGACCAGATTCTTGAAGGCTATTTGCTGAGAGTAGTCAACAGAAATCAAAATTTTAGAAACAGCATTAGAAGAGAGCACAAAAACCGGGCAATCTAGAGCTCACTGGCAACTAAGCAACAATTTACGTAACAAGACGTAAAAAGTGTCCAGGGAAAAAAGGTTTACAGTAGCAACTGTCTTGAAGAATCTTTAGGAATACGTCAATCTGAGAAGCAGTTATCCCTTAGAGTCAGCAGCACAAATTCTATACATTGTGTAAGAAAATGTCCACGGTGAAATTTTGTTCAAATCTCATTCACTTACACTTTGATTGTAAATGGGACTTGACCAAACTGACACACAAACGTAATTCTGTCCACTTACTTGAAGAATAAGTTCTTGTAGTTGACTGGTCTTCTGCCTTATCCTATCTTCTCTCTCTTTCTTTTGGACCTCCAGGTTAGCGCATTCTTGAGCAGAGTTTGTAGGCAGACCAATCCATCGAATCTCCTTCTTCTCCTTGGAGATGATATTCATCGCCATTAGAACATTCAAGGCATCATAGACTCGCCTCCGAATATTCTTTTGATCATACTGCAGCTGTTAGTCAAAAATAAAAATGTATTAACTGGACTATGAGAATTGAATTATTTTCACTTCTTATGGCATACTGAAAAGGTCCTCCCCCTTTTTCTTTGTGTTGTCTTAATTTGCCATCACAGCACACCTGCTAACTGTACACTATTGATACATAAATCATTAGATCTTGTACCAATAAAACCATTTTGCTTACCTGATCATGTGCCGATAGCTGTGCTTGATGTGGTGGCATACTGAACTCTCGGACCAACTCATCGGCGACTTCATTGTAGGATGTTACGCCTTTCTTCTGAACTTTCTCGCAGACTTTCATGGAGAAGTGACGAAGTCCCTTGCTTTCTTTTTCCCGTTTCTTTCTCTTCGTGCTGCTGTCTCCGTAGTCTGAGCTGGCATAGTCATGTGATCTCTTTTTTCTGAGAACAGAAAGGATATGGCTCTGGTGAAATAGTAACTAATGACTGCGAGCGCACTCACATTTCCAGTTTATTTGTCTTGAGTCTAAATGCAAGAACCTTCCTAATGATTTTCACAGTACGTGTACAAAAATTTTTAAGATTCTTGCTGAAGTGTTTGGAGAAAGTCTAATACTCTGACTTGTAAATGCTCAGATTCACATTCTCAATAGAATATCCTACGCTCCAACTTAAATAGAAACTGTTCTCAGTGGACTACTCAAAGCATTTAAAGTTCTGACATGTTTCCCTTGGAGAAAAAATATCATACCCGCTCCATGATGGTGACTGGGACTGTACCAGGGATGCAGTGATTACATTAGGACTTGACTGGAGTATGTTCCTTGGCTCAGCAATCAGGGTCTGTCAAAATTATATGAACACATGAAAGCATAGTAAGTTCTAGTATGATACAGAAGTGGCATTTGTAATAAAACTGGATTACAATTTGGCCTAGTTTTGCCACCCGCTCTATCAACAGGCCTGGGCAAGTTCCATCAAGGACCACTAGTTAACTAGTGGTTAGTTCGTGAAGTACATTGTACCTAGCGCACGTGCAGTGAAGTTGAAGTGTGAACGACCCTCGTCAACTGTTGTCAGGTCATTAGGCCAAAGGGGAGAAAAAGTGGCCACAGCAAGGGCAAAGTAGCAAAAATAAAAGTGAAAATGGTTGTTTACTACTGACATACTGTCTTTCCGGCATTTTTCTTATAACTGGTCCTTTCTGCACTGTGCTATTAAAAATGGTTTACGGCAACCAACAATGTGACCAACCTCGATAGGCTGGTCGCGAATAGTTGACTAGACAAGTCCAACCATTGTTAACTAGCCTGCATTCGATCAGAGTTAGCCTAACTATGGTTAACTATGGTCCTTGATCCAACTTGCCCTCTATTACTGTTCCCAAATTAGCCATGCCCCATAAACAAACTCCACAGAATTTTGAAAGTTGTATTTTGTTTTTCTCAGCTGTTTCGTGTCCCGCATCTAGTTTGTATATTAAGCTGCCCTGAGTTAAAGTGCACCCTAATGAGTAAAAAGACAGGTTGGTGGGAATTTTTCCTACAGGACTCATACACATGCCTGGCGCACATGCGATGGCCATTCATTCCAACATAAATTGGTTGCACGTACTCAGCACACCCTATGCCAAATGCGCTGAAACTTGTGCACCTACGTAGTGAGCTCTGATCAAAGGACTATGGTTTCCATGTAAAAACACGACCTCTCTTGTTCTTGTTTGGAACAGATTGGACAAAACTGCATTAGCTGTACTGACGTGATTCTAATGCAATAGGTCAATTACTTACCACAGGTGTGCCTGTGGTCGAGTTGACTACTTGTATTGTCTTGGGTAGGATCTGCGTGCCACCAATCTTCAGCGGGGATGGCCTTGGTGATGTCATAAGTTGAAGGACTGGAAAAACTGTGGGACAATAAAATCAACGGATTTTTATTTGGTGACTGGTATACTCTTCTGGGTGTCAAAGGGGAATGCAGTAGCTACACACAAAAACTACAAAGAACGATAACATCATTCAATATACAATGAAACTATGTATTCATAATTTCACTAAAAAGAACAAACATATGAGTGATCCCAATAGAACCCTGTAGTGCATACTTTATGCAACAAGGAAAAAATATCAGTGTAGCAGTTTGATTCTGGTGGATTCAGCACGGTAAAGCACCACATCCATTACAATATGCATGCAAAATCTGTTACTATAGATCTTTCACAATAGTACGCAGAGAAATGTTTCCTCTACAGATGAAGGTAACAAAGTGGTGCTCTTTGCATTATGCATTAGTCAATACATCAAAAGTGGCTTACACTTCGACAAAAAACCATAGACACGATAGTTGCTTACCTCTCTGCTGTACAGGCTGTGTATTCTGTTCTTTTGTGGCAGTCAAACTTCCATTTGTATCAAGAACTCCAGCCTATAAGACAAAAACACACACAACTCATCAGTATCTACAAATTCTTGTCTTCTGCACAGGACTGCAAAGGCTCTCACTTATGATGTACGTGTATAGCAATATTTCCCTGCTGTGATAATTACATGTACACAGAAGTCAGCACTGTACAGATCTGTGTCAGCCAACAAGACAATGAGGTTTAGATATTGAGAAGCACACTGTTATGAATACTATGAGTAACACAAAAAGCTTGTCTTATTGTACATGTACAGGTACTTGTACAGTATCTAGGCATGTACTTGTACATGCACAGTATCTAGGCATGTACTTGCAGTCGTACATATGTCCAGATGAGGACATTTACTGGTATTACACAGGAAACAACCCAAATGAGCATGCTTGTTATACATGTACACACATAAAATATTATCCTTGAATGTACATGTAGATCATACATGTAATAAACAATGCACTGTCCTACAAGAACATGTAAGCCTACAATGTATGTATGTACAGCGCTATACATCAGCAACATGTGTTCTGTACATACAATGTACATGTATGCCCATGCTGTTTAACTCCAGTGTGCATGTACCATACATGTGCATGTATGAGAACTGAAAATCTAGCAACAATGAATCTATGAAGCAGATCTTCCAGTCAACTCTTTTGACCTGTTAATTTAATATGTGGGCTTAATTTGGATTTTCCCCAGAAATTTTAAAACACCTTTGTTAAAAACCTTATCAAACCATGCAACATGTCAAAGCTTTAAGTAGTATTAGGAAAACGATAAAGATGCTTTATAAAGTAACCTCTGACCTAGACAAGTTGACATGGCAAACCTTAGATCTATGCTGGCAATGGTATTTACTTATGGTGCTATGTTAACAAGTACTGTACTTGAATGTCTACCAGCACAGAATGACTTTCTTCCTCAACTGTTGTGTACACGTGAACATGTACACATGTATACATATATCAGTACCTGTACATGTACATCATTTCTGGATTGCACGAGTGCCTGGTGTCCCATTCCTTGATGTACATGTGTACTGGTACACGTTGTGATGAGATTTCCATTTTTCATTTATTCTCCTTTACCACACATGTCCACGTAGCAATACAAATGAACACAAACACAGGCATATTTGTGGGTTAGCAACACAAAGGAATTACTTACATTTGCAGGTTTTCATGGTTTACAATTTTAAAATTAAAAGAAATGTGAACAGCAACAGAAAGTTGTAATCAGTATCAACAATTCATGATACGTAAATTTCTGTGCAGATCTTTAATTTAAACACTGTTTTAGCAAAATGATGCTGAATGAACTGGAACAATTACATACACCTGTATTGGTACACGTGCTATTACGTGTACAACTTAAAGAGTGGTCTTACATGTAACGGCACAGGACTACATGTAGATGAATAAGTCGGACAAGATCTTCTTCAGATTGAAAGCAAATGTCAAGAAGTATTAGAGGTGACACTTTTGTTTATCTTCAGGAGTATACCAATGCATTACATGCATAAGCTATGAACAAGGACATGTACACACACAGTGTGTGTTGGAAAATTTTTTACATGTAAACCAATATTGATCTGCATTCCTCAAGGTTCAAGACCACAGGACAAAAACCATGCTGAATAAAAGCAATTATTGGCAACTTTTTAAATCACTGATTGAATGTTTAAATTTAGTGACAAATAGACAATAAAATTTTGAAGGTATTCAAAGTGTTCCTTACATGTACAGTGACTCAGGCAAACTTGTGGTATGGCACATGTAGTCTGCTTGATCAGGAGTTATACTTGTAGCAGGAATGCCATGGGGTCAACTGGGGACTAAAGGGGTCATCAGACTACATGGAGTACTGCATACATAGCGCTACATTGCTTATTATGTAATATGACACTGTGTGGTTGCTAGAGGATATTGGTACACAGGGGATTTTATGCATACACACACCACACATGCCATGCCTAAGGTCATAGGATGGGCTTTGATCCCCAACACTCCACACAGTATACTTGTATAAGGTCCATTCGACTACAGTGGAATGTGCAGATCTATACAAGTTTCTTTGTCCACTTAACATGTGTTTGGATAGGGCCCTAGTGCACAAGGCACTTGAAAGGAAAATTCTGTATGAGCAATGGGACTTTTTTTGAGGTTAGCTTCTGCAGCAGGTCAATAATTCCGGCAGTGATCCCATTTATATCTACTGGTCTCAAGGTTGAATTTATTTGCATGATTGTTCTGTTATAACCTTGTATACAGCATTAGGAGCAAAGCCAATCGATGACTATGCAAATCAGAGGTGGTTTGGAAAGACTTTTTGTATGGATCACGCAACTGTTGACAAAGTAAATATAACCTGTCACGCAAATGATTTGAATCAAAATTTCTAGTAGCTGCGTATTAACCAACCCAAAACATATGACATGCAAATAAGGGGGTGGTAATAATTTATAACTATAATAAATATCACTGTCTCAAGAGAAATGTAATAACTTGAGGTGGTTGAAGAGTAAAATATTCATGTACACAATAAAAATAATCACAGTTGAACTACTGGCATTTTCAAATACCAAACCTCCAATGGTGGGGTTTGTAAAAACAGCATGTAAATAAATAAAAAAATAAATTAAGAATAAGGTTATTATTTACAATCATGCATACACTAATAGAAAGACATGGGTTCTAATGCCCATGACTAGTGTGTGTATTTAACATCCTGGTTCTAACTTCTAGTGTTACAGGGAATGAAGGCTTTGTTCAGCCTTCAGGGGTGACAATATGTCAATGTCTAAAAATGAAACTAGCCTATCCAAGTTCAGTCAACACACCCCCGCTTTAAGGATTCATTGTTTGGAATTACATGCACAAGTATTTCACATGAAAAAAAGGAGGAAAAAGTCAAGCTGTCTGCATGCCAGTACAATGTTGAACAGCTAGACAGGCTGTATTTCACGGCATGGTGCACACATTCTTGGTAACTAGACCTCTTAAATAGAAAAAAATGCTTTCCCTCTTGGCTTGTACCAAGAAAACAGCACAAGTACACTACATTTACATGTACATGGGACTGCAATGGAAAACAGTTAATCTAACTTTTTTGCGTTATCTCTACTATTCCACTTTTGGGAATCTTTGAGTTTGCTTTTCTTTAATTTATTTTTTGTAATTATATTTTGTGGAAATAGTGAATAAATCAAATCAAATCAAATCAAAATTCACGTCACTTCAACTTGTCACAAATTCTATGCTCACTCTGGCCATAGAGTAAAGAAATGGATCTAACCAAAATGTAAGGAAACAGACATTGTGTTTAGTATCAGTCATAGAATCAACCTGGATAGTGGACACCCACTACCCAATTCTTACTTTTTCAAATGTATACATGTAATTGACAATCTGTAACATTATAGTTGAGTTACAAACCTCCTTTGCGATCTCCTCTATATTAGCTTCTTTGAAGAAGTTGGCTATGTCAGCATGGACAGTGTCTTTGCCTGCTGCCTTAGATGGAGTTGTTGGGGCACTCTTCAATGGACTGCTTGTACCTGAAACATACATTTACAAACAAATTGGACAAGAAATCAGACCAAATTTTATTTTGTTTTTCTCAATTTTTTTATGCAACACATTGTATAAGGGTAAGTATGTGTATTGTTTTTTGTATGAAATATTACATGCTGACCTCACTGTAAGTCAAATTAAGTTACAGAGCATTTAAGACAATTGTACAGTTGATCCATATGGCGTAAGTCTGAATATGGTACCAAACAAATTCAGGGTAACTGAGTTTGTTTTTGCGAGAAATCCAACAGTTTTGTCTAAGGTAAGCATACAGCAAGGAAAAAAGGAAATGAGGTAGGACCAAGACAAGGTCATAACTCTGGATTACAGGGTAGGATGAGTCTAGATACTGATGGCTTCTGCTCCTGACACTTTCTGCTGAGGAGAAGGGAGTTGTGTTATGTCAGTTTGTTGGATCAAAAATGTCAAGGTTTAGTATACTGGGTAATGCAATGGACCACAACAGGTGGCATGGAGCTGGGGACAGGCATGTACATGTACCTGTTTTCGCAAGTACTGGCTGGTTACGAACCATAATCTGCTGGGCTGTGTATGTTGATTTGACCAGTTCACAGAAAATTTTGGCTGAAGAAGTCTGTCCTAATATTAACCCTAACACTCCTCAATCCTTGTCGTGCAAGCATGTGATGAGAGAATCGAGCATCTTTGTATCATCATCCTCAAGGTTGGGACTGAATGAAGTACACAGCTGGGTATCGTCTGCGTAAAAATGTGACTGGATATTGTGTTGCCGAGCGAGTTCCCCAAATGCTTTATTATAATTAAATGCTTTATTATTATTCACCTGTTGGAGGACTGAGGAGTGTTAGGGTTAACCATAACTAAACACAGAGTGTTACCAAAACTCTCTGGTCTCTTTTAATAGGCACATCCAAGTTATGCCTACCACTCTACCCCAGTGCCTTAGCCAAAAAATTTTTCTAAGTCATCCTTGGGCCTGTATACATGTACATGTAAACCCATCCAGCGATTTTTAAAATCACAAATCTGTCTTCAGTTATTTTCAAGAAAAGTGGGAAATATTTCATTTGGAACCCTTCCCCTGTATACATTTGTATTCTTTTTTTTTGGGGGGGGGGTGATTGTGTCCAAAAAGGGAACTCAACTTCCAAATCTCAAGGACGCCTTTTTGGGAGGAAATAAATTGGGCCAGTTGTTATATCTCTTCCTGTCTGGTTATCATAATAAATCATTCACATCCTAAGCCTTATACTATCATATAAATGCAGCCACAACACCAAGCATAAAATTTTACCTCCTTCATCCACTGCACAAGCAACAATGACATGTTTCCTAAACATGAATACCATCATGTCTACATTCACTGAATGCTGTTAGTATAGAGGCACCAATTCAGTAAGTGCATTCATAGTGGTAAGAGAACAGACGAAGTGCGCTTCATACAACAGTGAAACAGTATTGATCCAAAACACTCTTTACAATTGTACATAGAAAGGAGCCGTGCCTATGATACAATCAAACAATACGTTCACAAGCCTCCCCTGAGAAGAAATCCTCCATGAAAGTTTCCCTGCACAATGGTACATACAATACATTTATTAACACCCTTCATTTGAATCATCAGAAAAAATTCATGAAGTATGGAGGTACATGTACACTGAAATTCTGAATCAAAGAGGAACGTATCGGGACGTACATGCATACATGGATATGTTTACATGTACATGTAAGAGACATACACACTTGTGGGTTCATAACATCTTACTGTACATGTACGTATGAGCACATGAACTGGGACACGTACATGTGTGTTACAGATGTTCTTCAAAGTAAAAGTACACAGGTATGCTGGCCTGCAGGTGGCATTAAAAAATGAATTCCTAGGTACAACGACATGATTATAATGGTACAAGATCACATACCAATTACTATGGATAAATATTATTAATATGACCGAGCGCTAACATGACTACATGTACATTATTTGCTCAAGACAAATCTGGGAGTGTGTAATTGCTGATGGCAGATCTCTTTTGTTGTATTTCTCAGTTGGGGACAATATTCATGTGAACCGGATGTACATGCACATTTTTTCTCTTGGTGAATCTTTTGTAAATATCCCCTACGGCACGACCCCCATAAATAGAAGAGTTTAAAGTCTTTCCTTACACGTATAGATGTATAGAACACGTACAGGCCTATATCAGGCAGAGTGTATATTTCAATGAGTACTTCCTAGCACCTGCTCCCAGTAGATAGGGTCTATTGTTAGATGGCGAAAGCTGTGCATGCATGCATGCATACACTGCGGTCAATGGGGATTTTGTGGGAGCCTGAACTGTAGAGGCTACACATGATGAATAGCTGTGCATGGGTTGCTTGACCTAAGATTGAATAAAGCTAGTCTAGGAGCATTTACTGGAGTGTGCTGGTATGGCAGTCAGCTGCCTGTAGTATTTAAATGGCCAGCTGTGTGGCAAAGAAACAAAGCCCATCCCATCAAATAGCCTCCACAGTGAACGATAGTACATGTATTTCCAATATATTAAACGTTGGTTGAAGGTCACGTACTAAAACTTTATAAGAGTGAGTCTGAGTCTTTAACAAGCTTTTCAGTAAGTGAAGCAGCACAGTTTTGAACAAAAAAGCCAAATACCAAACTCTGAGAAAGTTAATAAAATGGTTTCTGAAAAATGACTTAAAATTAGTCTCTCAACCACAAGGATTGTGCCAAAACATTTCATTCTTTTATTTAAAACAATTATTCTACCAAGTAAAGGAAGGGAGCAAATGAAATTGCACTTTGAAGCAGTCTAGCAGTTAGGTAAATACAAAAATGATCAGGGAAAAACTGTTTCAATATGATCATCTTCTGGTGACAGGGATCAAACAAATAAAGGATTCAGGCTTTAGACCGGGTTTTGGCATGATCAGGTGACTTTTTTTCAAAGAGTTACATATCCAGCCATTGCTTGAAACCCTGTGCATAAACCCTGTAAGACCTGGTCTGAAAAATAAATATTTTCATTGACCTGGTGTTGAGAGCACACCGTCAGACTGTACCCCCAGAACTAGAGGGTCTGAAGTCCATCCCCCGGAGCGGACGTCGAACCCTACAGTTCTGGGGGTAAAACACACTGTACATGTACAAGCATGTTAAAGCGATCACACCTATGATCACACTGATGTGGATGTTAACCATTAAACTTAGTGTGCCACATAATGAATGAACAATAAACAAATCACACTGAAAAGTTACATTATCAAACTCAGCTTGTACAGTATCTGAATACAAATTGTTATCAACATCTGTTGGAGTTAACATGTTTAGTGTCATAAATCCAAATACTAAGGCCTACACTAGAATTGGTGGAAAGAAATCAAGCCTAGGCTAAAGTGAAGTAGATCTCCCAAGCCACTGTGAAAAATTAAACTTGCATGACCAAAACCTAATTTTGTAACAACGGGAAATCTGGCATGTCTGGAATTAGGCCTAGGACTACATGTATACTAGTTTCTATGGTTTAACATGCTTAATTTACTAGTACTAGGCCAAGGCCTATAACTTAAAAGCATGATAAGTTACCAGGCATAGGCCTAATCATACAATTTTAACATCAAATTTCCTTAACCGTGTTTAAATGACACAATTAATGGGAAAACCACGTGGCAGGAAGAGACTTATTGCTGACGAGAAAGATCAAGGTTTTCCCTGACTCCTGGAAAGGAAATAAAGGACCTGATCCGACCAGACGGTTAACACCCGTCATGTCCCTTCACGTCAAACGCCTTCACATGCCAACGACTGAATTAAAAACCACAAGCGACACAAGGTCAACACAAAAATCTGCACGTCAACTACCCACCTTCGCCCACCCACAGGCTGGTCAATGTGGTTGAAGCGTCTGTCATACCGCTAGAAAGAACTCAGAAGGTTCAAGTATAACATAAAATGGACAGATCGGCTGAATTTGGGTTTCAAAAAATAGATCGATCTTTCAAGCAGCTGGCCGTAACATGTCGATGCCGATCTGAAACCTTCGCTGTAGATGCATGCACGTAACGTAAGTCTTAACGCACTGAATCACGTTCTGGTGTGCCAACTGCAGATTGATGACTTTGCACAGCAAGATTACGTCGATTCATAAAGCTACATGATTGTAACGTCACATATGTTATTCTTTGATATTTGATCTTCAAATAGAGTCAAACAAAACATCCCGATCTCAGACAGAACAACAAATATCTGCCCAAAACGCTAGGCTTTCTGATGAATTTAGACTGGTCAATGGCTCGCATCAGAAACTAAGCTTGGCGGTGGCCATTAGCCAAGCACATTGATTGGCTACATTGCTATCACGTGCCCTGCTAAGGGCCTGCGCAGTTCCATTTACGTCGCTTTTTCTTTGTTCTGAGCATGTGTTTACATATGTAAATCAGGGTCACCAAGTTCAGTTGCTCATGGTATTTAAATACTTTCCTGTAACCATGCTGTAACGCTGTTTGGAATTTTGCAACGCAGGCAGCTAGCTATGAGCGCGACATGCTTACTTGTACAAAATCCATAATTTCCCATCAAATCTGCCAGAAGCCACAACGGAGTTTTCATTTATCATCAAGCTATGGAATGTTGACCTCCACTGTTTGCCACCTGCTTTCTCCATGCCTTTTGCAGGACAAGGTATATTCCACTCCAATGTTTTTAACCTTCTCAACTCGTGATAAAAAATTGTGAAGCTAAATCTGAGGGTGCTTGTTGAAAACTAAAAAAATCAGTGCAGAGTGACCATTAAATAAGTAGCAAACCCTAAAAAATAACATCTTCAGGTAGAGGAAACCGAATTCATTCAATTACAGGTTGATTCAATGTGGACTTTGAAATAAAATAGCTGGATAAAACCTTTTGGCACAGGTAGGTTATTTTATAAGGTTTTGATATGTTAATTATTGTGCGCACTTCGAAGTTCAGACATTGCAGAGACAATACAGGATACAGAAACTGCTTTAAAATCTGTTTTAATTGTTACCATGGATACGTTACACACTAAAAAATAAACAACCCAAACTAGCAATGCATCTCCAATAGTCTAAAGCAATTTTTATTACATCCACACTACAAATTCATTATAAAAGTTACAACTGTTACCTGAATATGCTCTGACCAGATTTTTTAACTACATGTATGACACCAATGCTGCTCTACAAAACTTGACCATTTTTGTGATCATTATTTTCTTCTGAATATAGTAATGATCCCTGAATGGTTCCAACTTTGCTTTCCACAACTTTTCACAGAATATTTCATCATTCTTAAGCTCTTTTTCTGAAAGTTACACTGTCCTTTTAAAGCTGTTAAAATACATTGATTTAGGAGCCTTACGTGTACACTTACTAAAATGCACTTAGATGACATTTGAGGTAGAAAAAGTTTTCTTCTTTTAGATGCAACATTCTCCTTAACTAGTCACTTTTCCAACTGGACTGTGAATTTCTGAAATGAATCACAAGGAAGTGTCCTGGCACTCATTCCATTGAGCCACTGAATATAGAAATATTCTGCTAAGTAAAAATGGCTTGACAGCCACAACGCAAGACGTATTTTTGTTTGATTTTTTGCTGATATCTTTTAACATCTCCGAGCAATTTTGTTGTGTAACTCACTCTTTTGTTGTTTACCTTCCAAGATTTTCAACAGTAAAATTATTTTTGAGTAAACACCTGAAAATCAACATTCCAATACTTTGTAAGGTTCAAAGTTAAAATACATCAAATCAGCATTGGACTTCAATGGTACCAACCAACAGAATTACAATGACTAAAAATACTGCTAAAAATTAAAACAATATGATCCTCTTTTTAAAATGAGAATTCTTGCTCACTTAATACAGATGGTCTGAAAACTAGCTTTGTGGCTTTGCTGACAAGGATGAGATTTGAGGTACTTACGTAGCGTAAAGGCACTATTACAGAGTCTGTGTTTTGTGCATGTACACACGTGCTGAAATATGCATTGAGTTTGTAAAACTATGAGTTTTTGCATCAATTGCCTGCAAGTCAACTTGATATTAAACAATGCAAACACTAAGACACATGGACTCCACTAAGTCAAAATTCACAAATTTAGCACTTCAGACATTGTATTAACATCATTAATGATCACAATCACATAATCTATTTCATAAAATACAGTATAAAACGTATACTGTGTACTGTTATGATCAAAAGAGATCACTCAAATTCTCCGATGTTGTATGTAATACATGCACGTGTAGTAGGAGCTTTATCTCTCAGAGTGGTGTCTTTGCAGAGTTTAGACATCCCCTCAGAATTTGTCCCCCTTTTTTGAGTGTAATGGTTATCATTCACTGGTATCATCTTACACATTGTTTAAAAGGAGTCAATAATACAGACTTCTCAGGATGTAAGGATTAGACAGAGTTTTTGTTGAAGAATAAGTTGCTTAGAAATGACACTGATCTGACTCATTCAACAGAAAAAATGTATTATTCATACACCATGACCTTTGATTTAAATTGATACAAACTGCATAGTAAGCTTGCTTGCATATCAAGCAGACCCCTTGAACAGACTACAAGCAGGAAGTTGGGGGAAAAAATTACACTTACACTTACAAAGGAAAATACAAGAAAGGAATCTAGAAGAATCTTACAAATCTACCAAATACAAAAGGGCCATCTTGATTTTTCTTTCTGAAAACGAACTGCTCCTGAGAGTATGTGCAGCGCTAGAGTTTGACGTCTTGAATGTATCTCTTGGAAAAACAGCTTCTTTTCTGCATGCAACTTGGAAGAATAAGTACACAGTGTCAGGGGTTGGCGCTCAGCACTCATTATGCTGGAAAGTAGGAGCAGAGTATGAAACTACAAAATCATGGGACAACGACAGTACAATTTGCTGTTGCTTGAGAAAACCAGAAGTTAGACTTCTTGTCTGTGCATGTGGGAGGCATCACTGACTCTTTTCAATGCATTTACCAAGTTTATAATGGCTCACAGTGGGGAGGATACTAGATGGACAGACAGGTGTCTGCATAACAACGTATAATTCAAACCTAGAATGGGATATAGTGAGGAGGGTACTTGACAGGTATGCTGTTTTCTGTATGACGCACCAAGTGATCCCAGCCTAGCTTCTTGTAAACCTGCAATGAAAAATAAGACAGGCAAACATGAAATAGGCAAACACACTGAGAAACAAATTTGCAATGAAAAAAGCATGTGCTATAAACATAGCTTTCCATACATGTTTACCAGCAGCTTCCACAAGCACATATCTCTCTTGAACAAACATTCTGACATTACATAACTGATCGCTCAGTATCTCCATCTGATACATGTACCAGTAGTTCTGGTTTGTAAAACTGCAGTGCAACCCTTTTGCTTTTACTGAACACAGATGAATAAACAAATGCTGGAATGGGCTGTGCAAGAAATCTTGAAGAATTCAGTTTTACCTTGTTACAACAACCAGGTGAGTGCATGTCAAATCTGTTACTAATGGTATACAGTGTAAAAGAATGAGAGTGAACTGAATAACAAAATTAAAAATCACTTCTCTGAGCTGTGATTTTACAGTCATTATTATCATGTGCATTGATCATAATAGTGCTGATGCTTTAATACTTTATTCACTTCACTAATTAGACTTGACGCTTGTGACAAAAGGCCTAAGTACATTTAACTCCAAGTAGATACAAATGTGCTTCAGTAATTATGTTTTTTTTCACAAGCCTTCGGGGGTACACACTGAGTTTATAGTATTTAAATACACGTCGGGCAGGGCAAATCCAAAATTAATTTAATTATAATATGTCTGAATAACAGTTAACAATCACCTCTATAGCTTTCCTGTCTGATTCCTTGCTTGGCCTGGAATCATCATTTAGCTTTATTAATCCTTTCAGCTGACGCCCGTAGTAGTTGCGTACTTGAGCAAACTTCACTGTAAATGGAAGCACCTGGGGTAAAAGAGTTGGTGAAGCAAATATGATGGTTGAGAACTAAAGATTTTAACACCTGCACTAGTTATGTGTTCTTGTAACACAGTAATTATAAATCACATTTCAGGTAGGGAAGAGTTGTATGAAGGAGGGGATGTGATGCTTGGAATTTAGCCATAATCACAGTACCTTCTTCCGTGTGCCTACCTTCTTCTCTTCTGACTCTGCCCACTTTTGTACATCATTGAAGGTTTGATTCATTTGCTCTAGGAGTTTTGTTTCTTCTTCTGATGTGGTTTCACCTTCTGCTCTGATGGCAAGTATTCTATCAGCCAGAGCACAACCTTTGATGACCAGGCAGTTAATCAAATATGCCTTCAGTTTTTCATTCTCACTGCAAAAGAACAAATTTTTCAAACTGTTGGTGCTACTGTTGATGATTCAGTCTCCCGACAGAGCATATAAGCTTATGTTAACGGTGGGGGTTGTGATACATGTGAATTGATACACATTCTGAGTATGTTGTCTCACAAGCTCCAACAATGAATACTGTAGGTCCCATAACACCGTGTGCATTATTTACAAATCTTGGAACTTGGAAGCTATGTTCTTTGCTATTTAATAGTTTTAAGGGTGCTTCAGTTACTTGGGCAAAAATTTTTACATGTACTTGGAACTTACACCTTGAATGACTGAGCATCTGGTCTTGTATCAGTCTTCATTGCAAAGTAACTTGCTAATGCCGACTGGTCAATGAGGGAGACCACCTTATCAGCAAGTTGTACTATCTCAGGCAACATCTTATTCCGATCCTGAAAAAAAGGTAAAAAGGAATCTTTCAAACTCCATATCAAACATTTACACAGTTACTGCAGCATTTCATGCAATGGTTTCTGTCAGCTACTCTGACACTAAGTGACCCTCTCAGTTTTTAGTTGTTTATCTCGACACTACGAGGTGCATGCGGTTCCTACCTTGTGGGAATCCTTGGCTGTTACTTGCGTGACATGTAACGGGAGATGATTGGGGTAACTCGCTAGCAGTTCTTGGTACAAAGTGTCACTTTCCAACCTTTTACACATTCAAAATGGTAAAATGTAAAAGACTTTATAATTGTGAAAATGGTATCATAACGTGTGAAGCCTGTTTTCCTTGATTAGTTAGCTTACTGTTTTGTACCGAAATGAGTTGAATGGCCATTCAACTCAATTCAACTCAATATGGTCACTATTAAAAGCATGACATTACCAGTATATACTGTATATAATCTATAATTGGGGAATTCTGTGAATCAGTCTCAACACTCCATTTTCATGTCTTGACTGGCTAAGACATGTACCGGCACGTACCTGCTTCTAAAACCCAACTACATGTGTATATACTTGTACTTTAAATATCACACAATCCAACAAATATTGTAGCGCTTTAGGATTACAGAAACTTAATGGGCTTACTGCAGGAAGTTGGATTTTTTTGGGAGTTTGGGATACCTTTTAGTAAAGCTTTTAATAGATAAAATGTCTCTGTCCAAGTATTGTTGCTTACATCATCTACCAATAGAGTATTAGAAAAACCAGTTCTTACTTTGTGATCCATGAGATCTTGAAGTCTCGCAGTGCCTCCTGAAATTCCTCTTCTTTGGTTTTTTCTTTGGCTTTTTCTGTTTTAGTGACATGAGGCTTGTGAGGTGTCTGTGTGAGGACATAGATGAAAGGATAGCTGTCCTGGAGGCACAATGAAAAAAGGAAAGCAAAAAATGAGTGATTTTTAGAACCATGCAATGTTAGTTCAAGAACAACTACGAAATGCATGTGTTGTGGTTGCATCGCTACTAACAAAATGGACACTCCCCATCAACATGGTTCTTTTCAACTAATGAGGAGATGCTTCTGCTTAATGTGTATAAATGGTGACAACACAACATCTTTCTTCAGAAACCAGTTGGATGCTGAAGCAAAACACACAAACCTTTTGACTAGCTAATGACACAAAGAGAAGTTGAAATTCTAAAGACACAAAATGTATTTTCATATACAGTGTATTGAAATCACAAAGAGCTCAGTCATTGTCCCAGGAATCCTATAAAAGTAAGAGATCATCTTTTTTGAAACATAGCTTTACAAAATCAGATTATTTTTGTATGTGCATTGTGCTACTACAGAAATGTCATACATCATCTTGTCCTCTACCAAACCTCCACACATTTGTCGTCAAAAGTTGATGAAAGTTTTGATAAATGCAGGAAAGAAATTTGACTGAATAATCATCATCTCAAAACTAACTGCTTGAACAAATATGTAAATGGTCACGCAAATTACAAAAAGCAACTGAACTTGTGAATGAGCTGTTACGAAAAAGGTGTCTAAATGAAGAGGGTTTTAAACATCAACAAAGCAAAAGGAGATCGATTTCAGATGAGACAGAGGAAATAAAACAAACTGTGTGCTGTTTTGTTGATAAAATTCATGCAACATTGGGAATTTTTACTTTTAAGAAATTTTGAATCTAGAAAAAAATTGATGCCACACTCCTGAACATGAAGCAGATGCAACACCGAAACCTGCACGAAAGTAAAGCCAACAACAAACCACAGCCATGCACCAAGGCTAACTAGGTTAGTATGTAAATGATTTCATTTGGGCTGCAAAACATAACTTGCAACAATCAACTCAAACCAGCCAGGCATTTGGGGTATTTTATTTTCTTGTTCTTGAAGCTCAGATCTTCTAATGAATGTTAATTGGCAAACAGCAATGTGAGTGCTTAACTTACAGGCCTGGGACCAAGATTTCTCTTTCCATCACTCACACAGCCTGCCATATGACCCTTCTTTCTCCGACCCTACAGCACAAAGGTCATACGGGAGTCAAGGGTCACGACTCAAGACCAATTGCAGTGGCAGGAAACGGCCAGTTAATTGAATGCGTTTAATTTGGAAATATTATTGCCAGTTATAGATTACATAATTACATGTACATGTAACTATTAAATCAAAGGTTAGGTCAGTAGACATTTCAATTTATTAAGAATGATTAGGATCAAAGCATTATGGATTTGAAGGCCATTACCAAGAAACATCCACCCAAAGTTTACAATCACAGACAATTCATGCCATGGGAAATGTGTCACACCATAGTTGACGAAAAAAACACCCCCTTCGTTTCCATCATTTACATCATTAGTTTTCATGATGGCAGATAGCATGAACCAAAAAGTGCTCCTCATGAAGTCAAACATTGGCACAAACAAATCCAGTACAAAACAACACATTATACAACGGTAACAAAAACCAGACAACTGCTACACAGCAACAGCACATCAAATAATGTTGATACATTATTTCTTCAATGACTTTCTAATGAGAGATCGCTGAAACAAATGAAGTCCAACCATCTTACCGTTTTGCCCGGTTCATGCTTGGCTAGAGTGATAGTTCCCGTCAACATTTGACCCAGTGAGGCTCCTTTTGGTAGTTTGTCGTCAGATACCGGTGGGACAAACACAGCCACAGAATCTCCAGATTGTACTGTTACCGTGTTGAATTTACTCTTGCCATTGAGTGCATTAGACATGGTCTGATAGCAGTCCACATTAAGACTTGAGGAGAGTTTCTGATCTATTAACATAACCATGTCTTTAAGTTTCTCCAGGAGATCTTTGTGCTCATGACGTACTTGAAGCCGAATGGTGTAGTCTCCTTTGTCTAGTTTGATTGTGTACTATAAGTGAAAAATGTGACACACACAACATAAACAAACTTAAGGCTGCGTTTAAACAATCTGTAAATTTTTATAGTGGAAATACACATACAGCGATGCCAGTAAAACAAATGAGATTGGGATTTGTTTTTTTCTAAGAATTAATACGTGTTTATCATCTTTTAATGTTTGATAGTGTGTACAAGTTGAGATTTGGCCTCGAATGAGTTCAATAGGATTGGTGAATGTAGATCATCACTAAGCAATTAACCAGTTTTCTGATAACCATGGTGACCAAGCAGACTAAACTATGGTTATTAACTTAGTTATCTTTTATACCTGATTAGGATAAGCATCTCCTGCTCCCATATACTGCTTGTTGTTATCAAACAACAACCACAATTGGCTCTCATACTCCGACTCATATAGAAGGTCGCTCAGTAATGGACAGTTGGGAGTAATCTCGGAAGTCTTGCTCTGAATTAACAAAATACAACAAACACAAAAAACCATCCATGATTAAATTATTGTAATCTTACAGAAAAAATCTGAGCGATAAACGCTCTTGTGGAGGGGGGGGAAAATTGTCACTTAACCCTAACCCTACATAATACTAAAAAATCACTTCTTAGTGGTAAAATGTAGCATACAGTGTTGTCACTTGTAAGAAGACATGACCTTGTAGATCTCTGAAGCCATAAAATACAGTAGATAAGACAAGGTACCATACAGTGCCCTGGCACTATGAATGCACGACTTCATTGTTCTCTGTACAAGTAACAATGGAAGTGCTCTAGCCAGAAGTAGTAATTTGTAGGGCTACGTTCTTCAGGCTCAGACTAGTACTACATAGTAATTTGTAGTACCAAGTCCTGTAAGCCAAATGATATGCTTGGGTTAATGGAGTTAGTCCCTGGCCAATATAATCAAGCAGCCCACTGCAGGTTACCTCCCTGTGAAAATGAGATGGTCAACTGGGCTGCCTAAAGCTACATGTATATGAGATAGCTACTGTGTGGATTCAAACTCCACACAAACAGCAAGTCAGGAATCAAAACCTTATTATCACCAATATCTTTCTAATATGTAAATGTTGCATGAAATAATCGTACTGGTACTTCTGGTAGCAAAAATGAAAGTATTCCTACCTGGTGGAAGTTGTAGGTTAGGACTATCTCATATATCTGTCTGCCATTAGGAAGAACATCCCTTGCTCCTAGAGGATTTATCTTACAATCATTGGGCCTAGGCAAACGTGAAACAATTGTAAATAGACAGATAACATACCGGTATGTTCGTTTTGTATATAAGAAATGTATACCACCTCTTCACCAAAAATGCAACTGGAACAAAATAGCATCACCCAATCTAACAGAAAATTAAGTACAGAAAATTAAGTACAGAAATTCTTACTTACCTGAGCGGTTGTACACAGTTTTTTATGGTGATTGTTGGTGAGACTTCCTCAATTTTCAAATGAGATCGGACGTCAAAACGATAGACACCATTAGCTGCATGCTGTAATAGGAATCCATTTTAAGCAAGAATGATTCCAAAATTTCACATGTATACATTTTCCTTTACATGCAGATTACCTCTTTATTGGCTGATAATGGCTTAATAAGTTATTCCGTAAAAGCTTATTAATAATGGCCATTTTTGACTGTCTGCCGGTATGGACAATTTGCAGATTTACACCACACAAATCTCTCTTGTAAAGGATTGATTCTAAAAGGAGCCAGTTGTATGTATCTCTTGACCTCTTAACCTCTTGCTGCCGGGAACTCCGAGCAACATGGGTTTATATTCAGAGTCGGGGTGCCCGAAATGGGACAAAAGAGCTGCTGCTGGGAATTACCATCATTTTTCGGCTTGCATTTTTTTAAGGTAATCCATCACCGTTTTTAAACAGTATGCCACTGTTTTCGGCATAGCACGCCCGCAGATTAGCACTGTAGACAAAAGTGCTCCAGAGCCCCATTGATGAGTGACACAGCCCCGCTGCATGCTAATCCAGCCCTGTTTGAAAAGATGCCACTTGCATTCACTGGGGACAAAGGAAATTACGCAACACCTCACAACTCTGGGCTCTCTTTACGCAGGCCTGGCCAAAATATTCAGGAGTCAATGAAGGATACCTGTCAGCTTAGAGTAGCCACCAAACAGTCATTCGTGTGGGTGCAAACGTCCATTAAATGGAATGATTAAATTTTAAAAATTTTGAAAAAAGCAGTTTGCAGCAGTTTTGTATGACATATCTTTGGAATTTTGAAAACTGAAAATCTTGAAAATCGCCTGTTTGTGTACACTGCATTTTTAAAAGCACCCAGCAGCATGTGGTTAACCTTCACCCATTTAACATCCACCATGGGAAGCTTCAAGTAATTCTTGGAATCTGTCCGTTCCCCAAAACAGGTTCTTACCATCTGAATCATCTTTTGGTTCATGTCTAGACTGTGGAAGGATATACTGTAGGTGATCTTAGTGTTGCCAAGGCTTGCCCACCACTTAGCAACAACCAGATCTAGTATTAATCCACCTCTGACAGAGAATGGATATGTTGACTGCCCTAACTCCTGCAGCTGGAAGAATTTGTAGAATTCGTTGCTTCTATAAGCCATGTGATCTTCTAGTTGAATGCAGTGAAGTACAATTTTAGAACTTTGTTCTGGGTCCAGAGATGTCACAGTTAACTCTGAAATTCATGTAAAAAAGAAAACAATATTTATTAATCTGTGTACATTAGAAACAGTTGAAGTTGAAATTAATGTGAAAAGGAAACCCCTGAAATCAGGAACCACCTTCTCATAATAAACTAAACAGCATGGCTGACTGACTCCATGTACCATTTGAATCTGAGCAACATCTACCGGTAGTTGTCATTAAGGTTTATTTGGAAAGTAGGGCCAGTTTTTTTCACACAGATCTACATGTAGATTGCAGTCAGTAATCCATCGTTGGTTCACTGACACCAGATCCTGCCTAAAAGATAAAGCAAACCAGCTTTCGGGTCAGTGATCTAGATTCAGATTGCACTCAGCAATCCACCGTTGGTTCACTGACACCAGAACCTGCCTAAAAGATAAAGCAAACCTGATCTGTGTGAAACAAACAGGTCATTCATGTGTTTGCATAATGTGTAAAATCCTTAAATTATTGAGCAAAAAACTTTAAGGAAATACTTTTGTCCAATTCGAAATTCCTCAATGCTACACAGTAGATTCAAGCAAGTTGTCTAATCCTATCATACCTGCCCACGTAGCACCTTCTGGTACCTGAATAAAGCTTCTTCTGATCTGACCTGGCTTGAACTCTATCTCACTCCAAGTCAGCTCATACTGTTTGCTTGTTTGTAGTGGCTTTACTACAGTAATTGGTATCCTGAATAAAGGTCCTTTGTGTGGATTAGCTGTGTCGAAGCACTGAACCTGTTTGCAAAGAAACAGCATTTTCGTTCAAAATTTCTCGCTGATTTACTGCAGGCGATGTTCACAATTACAGTAACTCAAAAACACAAACTCTAACTAAAGTTTGAAATACTTGTTTGAACTCATTTATCATTTCACCATAAATACCTTGAGCGCTTTAATTTTGAAATCTATATTATCCTGAAAATGCTAATTAAAGGAGCCATAAAGGGTCATAACATTAACATCAGTTGCACAGCAAGCCAATACATTAACCAACAGGACAGTAAGTCAAAGTTGTTACTGATGGAATCACTTTGCTTTAATGGTGTAATTGCCTGATAAATACCTCAGTATAGTGAACCCCTTCACTAAGCCCTCTCGGATCAACTCGTATAGATACAGCACGAGAAGCATTCATTAACGCTAGATGGGATGGATTAGATACCCAAGATGCTTCACACACTAGCGTTGTCTGCATGGTGAATGAAATCTTCTCCTGAGCACCTGTCAAGTTAATCAATCAGTTAATCAAAAAATAAATGTAAATTGATGTGTAACTGTCAGTGGTGCTCAACATACAATTAAGCCCAAAATTATTCATATCCATTCCAAATTCAGGTAACATAGAATTTACAACCACAATACCATAGAATTGATGACCAAAAGCTTAAATCTTTGACTAGATGAGCTTTTGCAAAGGAAATATGAGTTTTTGTATGCCTGGGTTGACCATCGGTCCAGTTCAAATGTTTTAACAAAAGAGCAAACTGCCATATTTTTCAATGGGCCTGAATAATTTTGGACAGCATCAACAGTTTAGGTCGTACTTCTGTAATGAAACAAACTAAGACCTCTGTGGGTCAGAGTAATTGCTACTCACCGATATCATCTCCATATTTTGGCTCTATGGTGACGTTGCATTCTCGAGGTTTCTCTGATTGTTTTGTTCCCCTGATATAGATTCCTCTTTTAGAACCAGTTGAAATGGAGAACCTTAGATTGCACGTTGGACAATCAGAGAAGCTTACAAGATGCTCAAATGCCTTTTCAACCTGCAATACGTCAAAAGTCAAAGGTGAAAGATTACTGCATCTGACAGGGTATAATCATTTGATGCATTCTTTATTTAAGGTCAATGAGTCACCTTCTCTATTAACAATTCCAAAAGACATTTAACCTGTACTTAATCCTCTGAGCTCCTGTGAGTAACAAGACAACATACCAAAACAGCTCAATCGTTAAAACTCCAACTTGCTAGGAATGTACAAGTGTCTTCAAATAGAGAAAGCACTGCTATAATGACATAACAGGGTCCCTGCTATACCTGATTGTTTGGTGTGGTGGTGTTGGGTAAAAGAGCATTGTCATGTACATGTATAGTAAAAGATTAATGTCTGCACATATTTTCCTGAATGTCAACAATTTATGACTTTCCTCTCTGAAGATAAAAATATTGCATAAGATGACTCAGAAGAGCCTATCATTAGAGGATGCTTAGCAGATGACACATACCTGTATGAGACCATAACCCTGTGCAAATATCTCTACCCTCTCAACACTGAGAGCAGTGTTCTCTAAGGCCCTGCGAATGCAGTGAGGAGTGTAGGAAATCTTCTCTGCCTTCAGACCTGACAGGATCAATGCTGTCAAAGATAATGACAAAAAAGTTCAAGCCACGGGGATAATGATGATAGAAACTTTTTAAACCTTGGACATACACTTAAGAAATGTATGACATATTGAGGCATTACAACAACAAACAGAACAAGAACACTCAATTTGCATGAAATCTCTTCTGGATTGAATGAACTGAGGTTTAAGTTGACTTACCAATTCCTCCACAGGCATTTGGGGAAGACATTGAGGTTCCATTCATAAGCTGTGACCCTCTTAAGGTCCAGTTTGGCACGGAGGTTATAGCACCTCCTGGAGCTGTAATACTTACTCCAAGGTCACCATCCACACTGAATGAAGGAAGAAATATGCAAAATATTGTTTTAAATTCAAAGAAGGGGATGAGTTAATTTGAAGTGAAACAAAAGTACATGGTGAGCTTTATTACCTCAGGACAACGCTTACAACAATCTTACCTTGGACCTCTGGATGACCAAGTATAAGCCATGCCAGGTAAACGCTCTCTTAATGAATATTCAGCAACCATCATTTCTGGTGAGACATATGCACCAACACCTGTAACCCAAATACAGTTACTACGAATGAAAATGTTATCTACTGAGGTTTCAGATTGATGTAATGTTTGTTCTCCCTTTTGGACCATGTAAGTTGGGTTCCAATCCATGCCTGATTCTGTAAAATTCCCAGATTCTCTAGTATACTTCACTTGTCATCCTATCACAAACAACATTTTAATATTCACCATCTTTCCATAGGTTTCTTCAGAATTGCAAAATGCTCTGTCAATGAAATTTTTCCAAAAATCCTTGTTTCAGTTTAAGATGGAAAATACAATCTAATCTACTGACCTATGACACTTGATGTGGTTCCACCTGGACAACCAACTGTTGACAATGCTGGACCATTATTCCCAGCCGATGAAACAAAGATAACACCATGGTCATTAACAGCTTCAGTGATGATGTTGCATACACGTCTGTAATAAGATCACAGATTATACCTCTGTGTTTATGAATTAGGCACACTGTAAGATTTTCAAAACTGTAATACTTACAAGGTATTCGTACATAAACGAAGCATGAATTATACTAATTTCAATATTGTGAGTCTGTGTGCTATAATGTTAACCTAAATCATTGAACAATTTCAATAACACACAAATCACACTAACTGATCAGTGAGTTAGCATCTGATCTCTATATTTACTACTCACCCTGAGTTAGGCCAATGTGCTGCTTCTCCATAACTAAAATTCACCAGGTCAGCCTTGTGTTCCATTACAGCTATCATCTGTCAGGATGAAAGCACCACTTCAACATGTTCAAGGTCCATAAACACACGGTAAATCCATTAACAAGTTTGTTGTCAGATTAGTTTCAAATTCATTAAGACAAGAAGATCAAATTTGTATTCAACCTGAAAACTGACTACTTACAGCTCTTACTAATGAACTTCCTGTTTCCATGGAGCCGAGCCTGGAATCACCGATCTTTATAACCAATATCTGAGCACCTGGAGCAATTCCATTCTTGTCAGGTTCATCAGGAAAATAAGCAGCTGCTATACACGCAACATGGGTTCCATGGGAACCGGCGTTGGTAACAATGCTTAACACGCTACCATCTTCGTACACATTGATGGAGTAATTTAGCATGTCTGTGAGGATAAAACATGGAAGAGCAAAAAAAATGCTTCAAGAATTTGTTACAATTAACATTAAACCCTCACTGTACTTTTTCCTGCAGGGAGTATCTGAGTGTCGGTAGGCCTTAGCCACCTGCTGTGGTGTGTACATTGTACATTAGGGCTGTACTAAATATATGAATATTTAATCTTTCTTTCTGAATTTGAATATTTGGATGCATAATGCATGAAAAATGGGGGGGGGATAATTTCTGTAAAAAATGAATTGCCTTCTACAGGCTTACGAGTATCTCCAGGTGATTGCAGGCTTGTAAAGGCAGCTGATATGCCCACAAGCAATGTAGATTCCATCGCAGAATAAGGAAATAAAGGTCATGAATGTGAAAGTCGGCATTCTTTGTAATGATTATAAATTGATGCGAACTTTGTTGAAATAAATTATGAGGAAGCCTTCATGAAGGTATTTCAACTGAAAGCCGAATTACTGGAGGTCAGAACAGGAAGAACCAACTAACTACCATGCATGGACTAAAAATATGGGAATTTTTCCGGTGGTAAATGGTAAAGGTTATCTCAACGAAATTCGAAGTGATTTAGCTTTGTATTTGTGGGTCTAGAGTGATCAATTCCTGTCCAAAGAAATGGAAGCCAAATCCTGAAATGAAACAAAGTTTCCCATGAGTTCTTCCATTGTTGCTTTAAAAGTACATGCAACATACTGTACAACTAGAATGGTGCCCTCTGCTAAACTGTGACTCCAATTGATAGGGTGGGAATCATTCTACAGTGTGCACATGTACATAATCGAAGTCATCCACATGAGTTGCCAAGAATTTAAACATTCTGAACAGGGCAAAAGGTATTTCTCATTTGAGTGTATTGCGAGCACCAGGCCTTAAAAATCTGTAGTGACTACAATGTGCAAAACTGTGTGTTCATGCAACTACATTTACTTCTGTTCACGCCTTGTTCATAAAAAATCTGCCCTCTGACATGACTGAATACTTGAATATTGGATCAAATGGAAGGTCAAATACTCAGATATTCAATTAGATTTGACTCAGCCCTATTACCCACCTGCTAATGTGAATGCAGCATATTGTTGGGACTCCTTAAAGCTTGTCAGCACCACACATGAAGCTAGGTCGCCGGTCTCTGAGGTATCAACCACGGCTCTGTTGATCAATAAATCCACATTTTCAATGTGGAACATCAAAATTGGATCTATGTAACCCTTTAAGTTTGTGAAATTTTGCTGTTTGTCTGATAAGTTATACATTTGGGCTGGCTTATTTTATGATAGTAGTATTTGACAAACACCTGTTGGGCAGATATTTTGTCTACAGGGTTTCAGTTTACAGGTCATTGCTTAAAATCTTATATTGGGGAAAAATATTAAAGTTTATGCAAGTAAATATATTACTGTTTACCTTCCAAGGGAGTTAAATGTCGCTTGACTATCCTGAAAAAGAGAAGCGATCTTCATTCCTGACTGGTATTTGTTAATAACTGTGTGCTAACTAACCTCCAAGTTTCTCCATCATGGAAGACAACACAGTCATAGACAGGACCGGGGTCACTGAATTTTTTATCAGCTGTGGTTAATATATCAACTTGTGCAGATAAATCTTCACGAGTCAGCTTCTCTTCCTAATGAGGAAAAATATTGGGAGCAATAGACACTCAGATATACATGTATGAAATGGAAATTCCTATTCCACATCTTTAAGCAAGTGGGACCTACATGTATACCACAATGTTCCTTACATTTCTGGTACATTAAGACAGGTCCAGTTAATACATACATGACATTATTTCAATGTACGTATACACTGTAACTAGAGAAACACCTGATTTAGTTCTGATCTGAATTTGCCAGGCACCTACCTGTTTTGTAGGATGTGGATGAGCATTGTCAAAGGCATCCAACTTTCTAATAGCTTCAGCCAGTGCTACTCTGTGCAGAGGATCCCATAACTTCTCTCTTCGCTCTTTCTATTGAACAGAATAGTTTCATTCTCGGATCAAACTATCAATCCAAAAAGTAAAATTGACGGATAGACACCGATCAATTGAACTACAGTTACCTTTAAATACAAAAAGTTTTAGGAGCCTGCCATAAAATTCAACATGGTGCAGTAAACTGATGGCATAGAGACATCATGCAGTGAAAAAGGACATTAAACGTGGCTGAGGTTTTACTAAAGCAATCTATCTGGAACAAGAAAGATGTTTCATTAATATGTTGATACAGATTTAAAGCAACCTTTGCTTTAAGGCACGTACTTCCGTCTTTCAACTGCAAAAAAAATCATTACTTCAATACAGCTGAACCTTGTTCATAAGAGGTCCTTCGGACTTGGCAAATTACTATATTATAACAGGAACCTTTATTATCAGGAATGAAAACATTGAAAGACAAACGATTAGGATTTTAAAAGGTCCTTGTTATAAGCAGAATCTTAACAGTATTAACAGTGCTCTTATTAATGAGGTCAAATTTACATGTATATGATGGAAGAGTTGTTTATTTGATGAAGGCATAGCACACATTAACTCCAGTAAGTCAGTTTGTGTTCTGTGCATTGAGAGCAATGCTCTTCAGCATGTAAATGTACAGTACATGTCAACTAACTTGTATCCTTTCTTTCAGTTGCTTGGGGTATAGCTCGTAGGCATTCTTTACACCTATGTGGTATCGATTCGTTGGGTTCTGCCAACTCGGTGGGATCTGTAATAAAAATACAATCCAGTTATCTGTTAATAGTAATTAATGTGGTTATTTTGTCTACCATTGGGCTGTGGTGCTGACATTCATGTCTTCTGAAAATACATGTACATGATTGGTACATGCGCTCTGGTGTTTTCAAATCATGTGTGCTCCATATACAGGTCATATACACTGTACACCTATGGTACATGTACATGCAACAATTTTGAATTACATGTACGTCATACCTCTGTCTTAAATACAATTTTTTCAATGGCCCAGAACTATCACATGACAGGGTGACAAAACCCATGTCACATACACGCACACATTCCCACAGTATACAGGACCATGCAGGAACCGCTAACCACTGATGTTCAAAGATTCCTTTTTTTTGCCCTTAATTTCCCTTAAAAAACAAGTAAAAAACTCATCAAGGCTGAGATACATGTACATGTGACAAAACAGTTGTTGACTGCTGTGATGTGGGATATCCTGTTTTGAATACCTGAGGAATATTATATAGCCCGCAACAATGTTCATAAAGTATCCCACATCATATCCCACATGTTATATCCCACATCAAAGCAGTCACAAATTGTACGACATTTACACGTATATGTACATGTAATTTGTGGTTTAAGACTTAAAACTGGAAAAGAATGATGTGCTATTAAGGGGCACGATACAGGCGATTCACAAAAGAGTGCCTCCAAGAGTTTGCAGGGCATTGGCCAATCACGATGCGCAAAATCTATCAACCCAATGTGCGTTTGGAAAGGGTCGACAGATTTCACGCGATGTGATTGGCTGACAGGTTGCAAACTCTTGGAGGCACACTACTTTACAAGTACCGTACATGTAAATCACCCGTATTACTGATACATTCTTTTCATATTATGTTACCTTGAGTTTTCTTCCTGTAAGCCCTGTGATTTCACCATCTTTTGCCTCAACAACTGTTGACGTGTTAACATCACCACTTCCTGTTGTATCAATGATGTCCACAACCTTTGGAAGCCCATGTGTAGTTATCTAATGGTGTGAAAATAAAATCCCTTATGTACATGTACATTTTATTCTTACATGTACATAGCTAGCTTGGATATGATTACACATGCCATGCACATGATTTTATCACAGCATTCTTAATTCCCACATAAAGTTTTGGAAAGGATTTCAGATCACTCAGCTCCAAGCCCATGTTTAAGTTCTCTATTTAAAGTACAATTCTGCTGATCCTATACTGTACATTTACATACATGTATATTAAGGTGAATGATTTCTTTACTACTTTAGAGCTGACTTTTTTCTTTTGTAGTCTTAAGCTTTAAAATTAATCCCTGCAACATATTGGAAAATATCAGTCAGAAGAAAAATTAAAATGCCTAAATTTGAACAACGTACTTTTCTTTTTATAATCAGAAAAATTTTTGTTTTTAAATGCTCATGAATCAGGTATGACAAAATCTGATTATGAGGTTTGACCAAGAGGTACAGATAGTCTGACAGACAATAATTAATGTCCTCAAGGAAACCCAAATATCAGTGGTTAATGTTACATGTAGTAGCATTTATTCTACTGGAAAAAAATAAATTCCCTTAAATGTTCATTGCTCACAGACAAAAACGACTAAATTAATATTTGATGGTGCAAAACCTGCAGCAAGGTAATAGTATACATGTACACATAATCTGTGAATTGCCATTCCATGTGAACCAGGAGGTAATGAAGAGGAATATCAAAGGTATGAGTCATGCTTGAAAGAATCATGCTGCATCACCACTGATGCACGCTCTATGGACTGATAGTACTTGTATGTACTGCAGAGCTCCATGACACTGTTGTACAGTACTCACTGTACTGACTGACTAGTGTTATTATTAAGGTGATGTATTGGTAATGAGTTTGTGCTCTAGAGGGATCTACTGAATATAGGATGGGACCTCTGTGGCTGGTTCACATGTATTGATAAGTAATACACGGTTATTAAGGTCAGGGATATTTCTGTCTGAAATTACAGGAACACTGGAAAGATTTACACGTTTCTGATATTAAACTGAAATTGAAGACAACAGACTTCTGTCAAATCATGAACACACTTTACAACATGTGGTGCGTTCTCAGCTCCTTGTCTTAATTATTCTGTTTCACTCCAGCATCGAGTAAAAGCTCTCTGGGTTCTTTCATAACTGTACAAACAATGGACACAACTTGTTTTCTTTCTTTTTGTTCCCTTATTTGAAGGAGAATTTAGCATGTGAGTTCAGCGGCCTACATAATGGAAGCTAGATTGCATGTATACAAGGGTCTACAGTCAAATGACAGATGCATTTAGTGTATTTAACTGGAGGCAATGACATACATGTATATGTATGTATTTAGCAGAAACCTACATGTGCATTTGTCATGTACATGGGCATGTACTTGCATGTTCATTACTGTACATGTACATGGTTGAAGCTGAATAAGAAATACAATCTCAACATACGTGAAATTCGTTGGAATTACATGAAAGCTGGGAATAATGAAGAGATTATTAGGAATCTGTTTTTCTTTCAAGCAGAGGGTGAATATCAGAATACATACATGTACTTGTACACATGTAAATTTATACTGAGTTATTGACAAAAGTATTATGGTAATAATGATAAAAGTGAAAATACATGTATCCTTCTGCTGGACTTAATTTGTTAAAATGTCTATATAAATATACCTGTGTAAAAATGTACAGGTAAACAGACTAGTACAGAAAATATCTGAAGTAAAGTTACTAGCAAAAAATTAACAGTGATTTTTATTGTCAAGTTCAACTTTATAAATGCAATATAATTTTGTGCAATATTATGTACATGTACGTATGCATGCTTTAAAAAAACAAAAGTACATGTAGATGATTGTACAAAGACAGCACTTAACCCTGCTTCCATGAAATTTGCCAGTTAGGTACACGAATGCATGAAAAAGCAGTACCCATCTTAAATGTATTCACTTTTATTTCCAATTTCATTGTGTTCTGTTCAGGATGTTATACTATGGAGCTACAAATCCAGCTTCATGGTTATACATACACTGTACATGTACTTCAGTGCACACAGTGTGACTAGTAATTATAATAATTTATTCATTTACAACTTTAGTGCATATTTCACACAGATGTGTTCATATGCGCTCTACAATGAAGACATTAACGTAGTCGAGCCAATGGCATAAAAGGGCGCCTCAGGCAGCTGCCAAATGACCCACATCCACCTACCGTACAAGTACATCTATGAGTAAAGAGAAGAGACAGTAAGAAGCAATTACAGTTTTAGAGGCAGGAGGAAAATCCCAGAGAAGAAATTTCTGGGTAAAACCCACCGTATCAGGTAGGGACCCAAAACTCAATCCACATGTGGACCAAGCCGGGAATCGAACCCAGGCCGCAAAGGTGAAAGGCAAGGAAAGAATAATGTATGTACTTCGCCAACCCGACTGCCACTCCACTTCACAGTGCAAAGCATGTACTAGGTTTATCAATCATTGCTCGGTTTGGGGATTGTTAACAGATGAATAAAATCCTGCAAGGGGATTAATTTCTTAAAATTAAAACAATTAATAAATTAAGAAAGCAGATATTTCATCTTAAAAATCTGGTAATCCTGAAGATGCTATGGAGCATCA